TTGCAATTTGTGTAAAATTCATTTTCTTTATACACTTGAATTTTAAATAAGGATATCGTCGGTTAAAAGGCAGAAAGCACTAAGTGCATTTTTTGAGAATTCGGATTTCATAGATGAATTAAATCAAAATAATATAATCTTTGTTGTGGCAAAAAATCATGCAAATCCAAAATATAGTTTATAAATCCAGAAATTAAAGAGACCAATCCCATTGCAATAATTGATTAGTTTTACAATTTTACGATTTTTTCAAATTGAATTTACTCAAAACACAGTTTCCTGACTTAATGCTTTCTGCTTCTTAACCGACAATATGCAGAATATGTGCGCTTTAATATCTTAAAATGAATGAATTTTTTTTTTATAGTAGTTTAATACTTAAATTATAATGAACATAACCATGAAATTTATGTATTCATTAAGTAGAAGATTTTCAATTCAAAATATTCTTGATATTTATTATATATGGTAATTTCTATGAAAATTCAAATTATCTTAAATCTATGTATGTGTGCACAAATTATTATAGTTTAATATTTATAATCATTATAGAGAACGAAATCCATATTATATTCTTCTTCTATATTGAACTATAAAAATTTTATCATTTATATTAAATAAATGCACATATATATTCTATAAATCTGTTATATTCTATAAAATTTGTTATATTAGCATTAAATTTCCAACTATTGCTTAAAGACGTGCTTGCATGTAGAATTCAGAATTGTAAAATAATAAAATTTATTCTAAATTCTTATTTTAAATCGAATATCACACGTTTTGTTCGAACAACAAAAAGTTTTATAATTTTTTTATTTTCCAACACTAAGTTAGATTCAATTAATAATAAACTTTCAAAAATTTTCTATAAAATACAATTTTTATATTAAATTTGTACAGTTGTCCAGGTTTTGGAACAAAATATCTTGAATATTTTTAAAAATTATTATTAATTTTTCGATTTTTAATTTTTAAATTCAACACCCAGATTGTATATTTCCAAATTTTTCATATTATTTGTACTACATACATATACGGGTATATAGAGTATGCATGTAGCACAGCTTTAATTTTATATAACAAAAAGAACCGACAATAATTTTCTTGCCACTATTATGTTATTTTAAAAATATTTAAAAATCAATTTTTAATTAAATTGCTAAATTAAATTAATCAACATTTACTTTACATTACAAAACACATAATTATACTTATTGCATATAAAAAGAAAAATATTATACATATACATACATACGTATAACTTTTATTAAAATATTTTCCAACATTTTTTTATGTAAAATTCACTTATGTTTACATTAGGCTCATTTGATGGCAAATATTGTGTATAATATAAATGTTAAAATAATTGAAATCTCCGATATAACAGTTAGTATATTATTTATTATTACAGGTGGAAAATTAATAATTATTATATTGAAAGCACCTTGAAAATGAAATTCCTTTTAAAAAACAAAAAGCAAAAATAATAATAAACTAACAATTTTTAAAAATTCATTTAACTTATTAAATATAATTATTTTAATTAAAAAATAAAATCTATGGGTAGAAGAATGTTGGGAAAATATGAATGGAAAAAAAAAATAATTATATTACATACTTATTTGTTTAACTATAACTGCGGGAAAAGAAAAATCCAAACGTCTCTATGGCAATCCAATTAAAATGTTTAAGTCAAAATGAATGAATTCAAGTCAATGAAATTCAAAAATTTCAAGCCATTTTCAAGAATATTTGAAAAGCTCTAATAAAACCAAGTACTTACCTACTTATTTATATGAACGTAAAATTATTAACGTAATTTTTAAAATCATAGTATGTTATATTTTTCCAAAAAAAAAAACAATCTAGTCAAGTATTTTGGATAACAATTTTATCGTACTAATTTTCTCCCAGTTAAAACGCACTCTTCTGAATTACGAACTCTAATATAAGAAGAATCTAAAATATCGTAAAAATTTTGAATTTTTTGGTTAGTTGATTTAAGCGATTTTTCTATTTATTGCCCAACTTTAATATTTATGTAAGTACATACATACATATTTGGATTATATTGTGAATGAGTTTAAGAATGAATTTTGAAATTTTATTTAAAAAATATTTTACATAGCAGCTTCTTAAAAATAGTTTCACATGAATTACAAAGTAGAAAACATTAAAGAATTTAAATGATGTGAATATATGAAATGTGCAATAAGTGTTATATGAGCTCAATTTTTTAATTTTTTTTGAAAAAAATTTTTAAAGTAAAATTTCAAATATTCTATATAATTTGGAAAACATTAAAATATGATCTAAATATGATATACATTTAGCGTGCCTTACTTTATTTAATTATTATTCAAGTATATGGTACCAATTTATATTTGTATATAAGTAGATATTGTTATACTATTATATTAAATGACATTACATTTTGAATTATTTCAAATACAAGTACATTTCGTGTCAATATAAATTAATATTTACATGCATTTAATTGATTACTAACTATATTTTTCACTAATTTTTCTATTTTTAAAATTACGCGTTTTTAAATAATTAAATTAAAAAACAACTCAATAAATAATTAATTTAAAATAAAAACTACTTAACGTACTCGTACCTATATAATAGCATTTCCAAGTTAACAATTTACCTTTCTGATATTAAAAAATATGATATGATCAACACATATTCGACCGCAATGTGTATTGTCTAAATTAGTAAAAGTATTCCAGAAAATTATGTAAATGCGTTGGCTCTTAGTAGAGTTTCATTTTGTGCCGTACGAATTATACGAAAAATTCATCAGTAATTTCTTGTAATAACCAGAACTCAAATATTAAATTTCAAGAAATTCCATTAATCCGTTCCGTAGATATGGTAGAAAATGTAAAATCAGTTCTAATTCGGTTTCCGAGCCATGATCTTTCCAAAAAAAATTTATAGATTCATTGTTTTAACACCTCGAATTTAAATATTAAATTTCAATGAAATCGGTTGATTATTTTTCTTTGTATACGTAAGTATAAACGTCCAGTTACTGACACCTGATTCCAAAAGTTCGGAGGTTTCGCGTACGATCGCATGAAGTTTATATATGAAATTTCAAGTAAATCAGTTGAATATTCTCTTCAAAATGATCAGAAATGTAAAATAGGCCCGGTAAAAAGTGCAGTTCCCGGAGCCTGATATATCCCCAAAAGTTGATCAATCCGTGCCATAGTCGAAATAAACATACATATAAAATTTCATCAAAATCGATTCAGCCAAACTTGAGATACACGCTCATATACACAGACTGACAGACCGACAGCTCTACATCTCTCTAAAAGTACTTTATTTATGCTTCCCTACTATGGAGAAGTTCGTTCCCACCGAAAATTCAACATCCAAAATTTGTTGCCATCACACCACCTACCTTATTGTATACACAATGGGGTCGGTAAAAATCAACAATAAATTATTGTTAAATTGCACTCTTTTTCAAATTCAAAATTAATAAATAATAATTATTTATTATGCTATGCAATATTAAATTTAATAATTATTTAAAAAAACAATATTACTATTTCATTAAGTTTTAAATATACCTTCGAGGGAAATTGTTTCCTCGAATTTATAAAATTGTTTTAACATTGATTGTATAACTACTAAAACAGAAAACATAATGAAAACACGCACGTCCTTCTTATTATTAATTGTGAATAATTTGATTTGAATGCAAAATATAAAATTCACAATCAAAAATTTTTAACAAAATAAATTGAATATTATGCATATTTTAAAATATAATTTTCATTTTTGAAAAATTAAAAGAAATTATTATATTATCTTAGGGCTATCTTTGTCTACTAAAATTTACCTTTGCCGTAGCATACAATGTGCCTCTCTTTGGTAATTACAACATTAATAAAAATTCAGAAATCAGTTTTTAAATCAGAATCTGTCTTTCACTCAGCCTTAATACAATATGTAGAAAAGAGTGAAATTTATATGAAATGAGTGAAATTTATAAAAAAAAAAATTTTATTGAGTCAGTCAACGTGAGATATTTAGAATTCTTTAATCACTTTAATGAGAATTGTAAAATTTAATATTTCTAATGTTTGTTTTTTCTGTTTTGTAATGAAACGTGAATGTGAGTTAAGCGAATCTGGTACTGACGATCCACTCAACTGTTATCCTATAAGTATGCAATTTTTTAAAGTTTTCTTAAATTGAACAATGGCTGATTTTATTGCATATTTATTGTGTCTAAATGCTTTTAATTGCTAAATATTATGATTTTTTTCAGAAAATCTTTAAAAATCTGCAAAAATTGTTGCAAAAATTACAATTAAAATTACAAGTAATTGCAATAGATTTGCGCGAACACATAATTTCTTGTATGAAACTCGAATGTTTACATAAAGTTTTATTTAACAAGTAAAGTTTTATTACTAAGCATTATGACTCTTCAAATTCAAAAAAAAAATTATTTTACAGCAAATTAACAACAATTTATTCTTGCTACTAAAATTTTTATTTTATTTCTATTAAATTTATTCTCTTAATTAGAGCAATAATTATTTTATTAATCTTATAATTTTTAATTTAAAAATTTATCCAGAAATACTTGGACTTTGTTGTTCTAAAAATGCACTCATATGTTTATTTAACGTTTAACCTTGAAAATATTATTTTTAGCTCTTATATATACGCCATAACTAAAAAATTATATCACAGAAAAAATTTTTATTAATTTTTGAAAACTTTTAATATGCAACTTTCTAATTGCATTTGTTCAATAAAATGTTCACATTTCACGCTATGGAAGAATAATTTTATTTTTAAATGAGGAAATAAATAAAGTGTTATACACATAAAATAAAATTTATTGGAAAATTCTAAAATTTTATGAAAATAGTAAAAATTCTTCCTATATTTCACAGCTTTACAAATTAATTACAATAAAATAATTTTAATAATAATTTTTCTTTTAAATTTTTTTTCAGGCAAAATAACTTTGGAAACAACAATTTTTATACAACTATAATACATTTAAAAAAAAGAGGAACAAGCGACCTATTTATAGGATATAAAGAGAATAACAAAAAAAAATGATACCATTTAAAATATTTCGACCAAAAATAATTCGACCATATATTACCAAAAAAATGTTCAAAAATCAAATATTTTTCGTTTTAACTGTAATAAGTTGTTTATTATTACAAAGAATACCGGCTACCAAAGCAAATACACACAGTGTCCAAACATATCGACAATCATCAACACAATTAGGGCAATTAACAACATCAAGTACATTAGTATGGGAATCATTTACATATGATAAAAAACAATTAGAATATGCTATTAAAGGTGGTGATTATTATAAAGATGATGTTAAAATACCAATATTTGTTTGTCGAGCTAATGAACAAGGTTTTTATATAAGTGGTCATACCGATAAAAGAGATAAAAATAAATATGTTTGTATTGTATCACAATCAAATGAAGTTAAAATTCATCATACATTCGATTTATTAGTAAATAAAGGACATTTGGGTAAAGTAACATGGAAACCATGGCATAAATTTAGTGCAGCAACACCAATTGGTGCTGTTGCTGTTGCAATGGGTAATAGTATATCAGATATAATATATGTTGCAAGACATCGTAATGGACATCATCGTCAAGGTAATGAAATTCATGGTGCTGATTTTAATTTAGGAAGATTTGATCCATCTGTCGGTTTTGGAAAAATAATTGTTACCGAATATAAAGATGAGAAACAGCATAATGATGGTGAAATTTTAATTGAAACTGAACCATTTAGATATGAATTAAGGGATATTGTAATTGATAAAACAAAACTTGATAAAAAAATTAATAGAACTGAATTAGGTAAATTTTTTTTTTGAGAAAATTTAAAAATTTAATTAATTATTATTGGTAATTTTTATTTTAATATAGGTTCTGCAACATTATCAAATCCAGGACAAACTGATATGATGGTTGAAACTGTTATTTCATATAAATATGAAAAAACACAATATTGGGGTAATCATGAAGGTGTTGCAAGAGGATTACCAACAAAAATTTTTGATAAAGAAAAAGGTGATACATCAAAACCAGATGAAGTTAATTGGGGTTTAAGATATTCTGAAATGCGTGTTGAAACACGTACAGTTAGTACAATGTTACCAGGTGGAACTGCTTTAAATGTTACTTTAAGAGGAAATTATACAAGTATGGAAGCTCCATATAGAGCAGCTTTAATTGCATTTTATGAAGATGGTGAAGAAACAGTAAAACGACAAATTAATGCAGTAGTAAGTATTTTACTTGGTAGAAACTATATGCTAGACCAAAAATCACAATAAATAGTGTTTGTATAATACAAACGTCGCGTGGTATCTAAAGAGAATTCTTAAAACTAAAACGAAATGCTAGTTATATTGTGACGGCCGTGTTACAAAAATATTGCATACGCAAGTTACATACCGTAGATTGGTAGACACCATAGACAGACACCTAATGTTAATCTTTTGATTCGGATATTGGTAGATGAATCACAGCAACTGGTTCTAAATAACTGCAATATTAATTTTATGAAAATAAAATTTCAATTTGAATATTCCATTAATATTGTTACCTATATTGTGTTAAATAATTCTCCTCGCAACACTATTGCTTATAATGAAATATCCATATAGTCACTGATTTAATCAGCATTATTTGCTTACACGTTCTCAGTTAGTTTCCTCAACATACATTAATAAATAAATTGTTATAGTGTGCCGAAAACAATAAAAGGACAAAGATTTAAGGCCGTAAATAAAATCGATTCACTAATATTTTTTTTGTTAAAACGTAGTTATTTCCAAGCAACTCCCGAGCTCAACATTTATCTTTGTTTAAATTTTTAATTGAAAATATTTTTTAATAATTATTTTTCCTTTTCATTTTATTTTAGGTTCAAAAAGCTACACTAAAAGATATAGGATTAGATTTTAGTCCAATTTATTGGATTGAAAATGGTACATTTATACCAACAACAACAACTACAACGACAACAACATCAACAGAGGCAACAACATCAACAAAAGAACCATCACCATTACAGGTTCCTATTGTACATATAGCAACAATCGGTTCTAGTTCATCATCATCATCGTCATCATCATCTTCATCATCATCATCATCATCGTCTTCATCATCATCATCATCATCATCTGAATCATCATCTGAAAATCATTCATCATCTGAAGATAATGATAGTCAACATCAGAATGCACAAAAACAACAAAACAATAAGGATTCAAGTTCATCAATATTAAATAAAAATAACAATGGTATCCTAACGATAATATTGTTAATTAGTTTCATAAATTCATTGGCCTTGTTGTATTAGTATGTGTGTTATTTAAGAAATTATAAAATTAAAAAATTAATTAAAAAAAACACAAAATTAATATATATATATATATAAAAAAAAATTACAAAAAAAAATTAATAATAATAATAAAACCATTGACTTTAAGGATAATGCTGTGTATATTATTTATCTCTAAATTCATAAATAAAGAAAAAAAAAAAAATAATAAAAAAATAATTATTAAAAGAATATTTAGATAAAAAAAAAAATAGCAGGAAAATGGTCTTCTTCTTAAATTATGCAATTTTTTTTTTTTTATCTATGTATGTTTTTTTTATAAATCTTTAAAAATTTTTGTAATAATTAAAATTTCAATCAAATTTAATTGAATTTAAGAAGTAGTTTGTATTATTGAATAATTTAGAATAATTTGTTAAGACCTAAAATATATTTATTATAAAACTAATGCCATATATTATATACGAGTATGTCTATCAGGCCATCAAAATCAGAGAGCAAATCAAAAATAAATTCCAAATTTATATGGAGTTTATAAATGGAGAAAGTGTGTCGGAATTTATTTCTCTGAAGTTAAAATTGATTAATATTTTTGACTCTACTGATTTTGGGTCTACATATTTTTTTAAATTTAAAATTTAAATTTCAAAAAAAATGGGTTGGTAAATTGCATCTGAAAATTTTTAGCACAGAGACAACCTTTTTTGTCTTCTAAATGTCAGGGTACTGAATTACAAAGTAAAATTTTTGAACAAGAAAATACAATTTAAGAATAAATTGAAGAAAAAGGCAAAAAAATAATAATTATAATTTAGATGGCTTTTAAAAATATACTAAATAAAATGAGATTCATGAAAAATACTCAAAAATTTCAAAAAATAAAAAAATATTTCAATTGGCATACTTCGAAAACATAAAACATTAAGAATTGTTTTTGTATTTTTTTTTCCAATTCAAAATTTCGGAAAATTATTTTAGTTTGGAGGTCTAATAGATCTATATGGCATTAGTAAAACAATTAATTTCATTATAAATCAATATTAAAATATCAAAGTAAATAATATTATTCAAAAAAATTTTTTAAAAAAAATTTTAAATTCATCTAAAAATTAAGCAGAGAAATTTCATTTTTTGATGATTTTTTTTTTTTATTATAAAATTAAAAACGCAAAAAAATTACATTTTGAAATTTAATAATTTTTAAAAGCTTTACTACAAAATATTAAGAAACTCTTTCCAATATGTCAGATACACATATTTTATAATAAATTCTGAATAAATCACATTTTTATCTGTTTCGTTACAAAAAAAAAATAATAAAATTATTGCTGCCATTTACATAAAATCTTTTTGTTTAAGAATTTTTTTTTTGAATCTCAAATAATAAATTATGAATAAAATATTTATTATTATTATTATTTAAAGGTTTTTTAATTGGCTTTTATTACACTTTTAGATTTTATCAAGGCCCTGTTAATTAATTTTCATAAATAATAAAATATTTAATTTAATTTGATCAATTTTTTTTTAGAATTTTCGAATTTTGTTTTTTAATTACACAAGTACATGCGAATCGGATATATTTCAAAAATTTTATAAGAAAACATTTTATTATTTTCTAAATTATTAAAAGAAATAAAAGTGTATTTTGTTATAAACACAAACTGAAATTTTAAAACTGAAATTTTTAACATAAAAATATTATCTAGTTATTATAAATAGAATAATTTAATAATTAAAAAATAAATTTATAAAATTAAATAACTTGTTTCAAATTAATTATTGATTAATTTAGAAATTTCTTAGAAATTTCTTTTTTAAAATTCATAATTAAAAATTACATTTTTTTTTTTAATAAAATTTTAGTAAAAATTTGTAATATTACGTCATGTTAATATTCAATCATAATTATTATTATTTATAAAAATGTAATTTATATTTATTTTTTGCTAATAAACGTATACAATTCAATTACACATTTTAATTAGTTCCAATAATTTAACAGAAAACTAAAAATTTTAATAGCTATTTTTAAAATTATATCTGGCAAATAGATTTTACTTCAAAAACTTTAAAGTTCTATAAATTCCTAAATGAATAATATTAAAAAAATATTTAATTCGATTATTCAATTTTTCAATTCTTTCGATATTGCTGTTGAACACTTTTCCTGCATATAAATTTTAAGTAAATAAATAATTTAAGGATACGAAAAAATGAGAAAAAAAAAAAATAATTAAAAAAAAAAATTAATAAAGAACCATTAGCTTTTGCATTCCAATTTTATTTTTTCATAAAATTGTACGAATAAATGTAAATATAAATATTTCAAAAATTAAAACAAACAAAAAAAAAACCAATAAAGTAAAATAAAGTAATTTATATATGTAAATGTAAAAAAAAAAAAAAACAAAAAGTAATAAAATATTCTTGTAAGCCCGAATAAAGAATCATTTAAATTGAATGTTATTGAAATTTTTTTCTGTTTCCCACAAAATTATAATGTAAAATTAAATTAATAAAGAAGACAGAAACTAAATCTAAATAAATAAAAACAAAAAAAAAAATGTTTTTGTTGCATTTTAATCCAATTTTAAAGTATCATGATTCCCCCCTTTTAATCTTAAGATATAAAATCCAACTTAATTCAATAGTAATTGAAAAATAATTAATAATGTTTCTCCTATCAAAGACCTTCCTCTCTGTATGGCTTTAAAAATCTTATAACAAACCAAAGTAAATATTAAAAATCTTTCTTATAACAGAATTAACGTTCAACTTTTTACAATTCCATTGTTATCGTTATAATGTAAAACTCTCTAAACGTACATGTTTTTCAAATGTACGACCTTTTGAAGCCAAGCATACTGTAAAATCTTACCCAAAGTTATTTATATTTCTTATTGTACATATATTGATGACTGTAAAGCTATAACGCCTATCGTCTTTAACAAAGTCAAATTAGATTGATTATCTCACAACTGGGAAGTAGACACGAATAAAAAAATATTGATAGCCAAAAAAAAAATAGCCTTGTATAAGGAATAGTTTGTTCTACCACTATTGGAATAGGGTGGCAAGAAAGGAACTGTGCCAAGTTATCCAAAAACGTTGGACGTCAATTTTTTCCATCTCAGTTCGAAAAATTCAAGTGTGCAAAGCGTGCTTTCAATCTAGGAATGTAATCTAATATGTTTTGTATAAATTTTGTATGTATTAATTTCTTTTCACTACTTATTATTTCATTCCTTCACTTATATACATACATAAATCACTTCATTCTTGAATAAATATTGTTCAAGTAGAACTTCATTTATCTTACGTTAAGAAAACATTTATTTTGTCTTAAGGAAAAGATTTTAAAAACGAATGTGTAAACGTGCACATATAAACTGTCAAAACATGAAGTATTACTAGTCTGTCAAATCTGAAATGTTGATTAGTATTAATTTGTTTAGGTCGTAAACAAAAATTTTACCAAGGTGATTTTAAAATTACATTTTCAATTTATTTTAAATTTAATAACAATACGTTGACAACAAGGAAACTAAGTTTGGAAAATTTTTTTAATTTTTGAACAGAAAACAATAAAATAATTTAAAATATACGTATCACTCAAAGAAATGACCCTTACGACAGTAGTCGACCAAATGTCCATTTTATCAGGAGATCGTACCAAGTAAGTTAGTTGCACTTTGTTTAGCTCTTTTAAGTTAAATTTTGTAATTTGAATTGAATTGTGCAAAAAAAAAACTTCAAATATCTGTTTTAAATTGCAAAAAATCAAACAAAAATTCGGAGATACCCGAAACTTGTTTTTCATTTTGTACACAATATGTTCCATAAAACAAAAACCTGAGATAAACAATGAACTAAACAATGATTTAAATTGAATAAATGCATGTATATACATATACAGTATCGTTAGTTTGTAATGATTTTTATTACATATAACAAATCCAATATTGAAAATTACTCAAAAAAAGTATATATGTATGTATGTATCCCATATGCATAAATGATTATACAATTCAAATTTTTTTAATTTTAGGTTAAAGGATTTACTTCGGCAAAGATTAATGGAATGTGGCTGGCATGAGCAAGTAAGTTTAATGTGCCGTGAAGCTATAAAAGAAATGGGCTCATCAGCAAATGTGGATCAAATAGTAGCAAGAGTAACACCCAAAGCTAGAACATGTGTACCAGATCCAGTTAAAAAAGAATTATTGCTGAGAATTAAAGAAAGCTTAAGTGCTCAGGAAAATATTGAAATCAAAGAATAATTTATTTTTAACAAAAATGTGTAACTAATGTATGAAGTTTTTGCAAATAAGATATAAACTATTAAGATGTCTAGCAAACGAATCTTTAATTAAAACTTGTCATTAACCAAAACAAAACAAATCATTACTTGTAAATAAGAAATTCATTGTATTTTTGCTGTCCCTTATTATTCCTGTATCCACTATTGATCAAGAAAGTGACCAGAAGCTTAGTAAGAACAAGTACCCCTTTTTAAGTACTTACCCAGTAGAAAAAATACTAAAACTACGTACTTAATTTAAAATTAACACTTGTCCTTGAGCTGTACAAATCAGTACTTTTAAACATACGGGTACCCCAGTCAAATAAAATATGCGATTTTTATGGTTCATTTAATTTGTGCTTCTAACATATAAAATAAACACTTCCAAATTGGTAACTTGGAACTTTATTAGTCATTTAATCAAACTTCAATAGAAATATCCTATACGTAATTTCTTAAAAATTTAAATTTAATCTTGATGAAAATCGCTTCGTTTCCTAGCTAAAATGTCACATATTTGTAAACAAAAACACATTTGTAATTATAATTAACTTCCTTTTATTTCGCCGGTTATTTAAATTATATTTTCTTCCATATTAATCCTAATTAAAAAAATTTTCTTAGAACCTTAATTTTTGGAAGAACCACTTATTTTTTCCAGCTTTATATCTTGACTCAAATTTAACTCTGGTTTGGAAACGATGTGTTTTCCTTTTAACTGGATCTTTAAGATCTTTTGCCGAAATTTTTTCAAAAGTAATATCTACTGTGTATCTTGTGGGCATAAGATGGTTGTAATTCAAAACCTTTATAAAAGGCTTGATTTTTGACTTCTTCTTCAATTTACTCTTGTTCATACGTTTTGTAACTTTACGTGGATATCTATCAATACCAGCAATCAAAGCATGCCCAAATTGTTTATCGGATGTGCCATCATCAAATGTTTTAACGATTATAGCTTTTCTGCCTGCGTATCGTCCAGCCAAGACGATTACGACTTTACCCGTTTTCATAATCTTCCTCATTTTGTCTAAAATTAAGAACCAAATTAACAGAAAATATATAAGATTACATCTTGTTTGTATGTATATTGTAATCGACTTATGTGCATTGAAGTTTACATTGTAATATCACGATTTCATTAAAAATTAAAAACAAAAAACTCAAATAAAACTTTAACTTAAATATGTAAATAAAACAGATATTCTCTAAGATTTCATAAGTCAAAAACAATATTGCTTTTCCAGATGTTTTAAATAGTTTATTTGAAGAAAATATTTAACGCAACTTACAGCTTTAATGGCTGACCGGAAAAGAAATATATAAATAAACTTTCCATTTGACACAATCAAAAAAGTGTTACCAAGATTTTTGGAATTATTCAAACTTTTTCACAAATGTGTTTTCAACATGTATTCTTCAACCTTTAAGATATATAGACGGAATATCGACAAAATTATATGTAACTTATAATATGTCGAAAAATATTATGTGATACTTTTCACATAGCCTCAATATTTAAGGCCGTTTTCCCTTTTTGGAAAAAAACCAAAGTCCACAATAAAATTACAACTCCATATAAAAACGTATTTACTTTACATTCCCTATTGTATATTACAGATTAAGGCATTTATTTCAAATATTTTCGTTTTTCTTTTTGTAAATAATAGCGTAACGTAAGCTGTCAAATTTTTCTTAAGATTTCTTAAGCTTTCCTTAAAAATGAATAACTAAAAATCAACAACAATGGGCTGAATGTTAAACTGAAAATTTCATTTAAAATAACAAAAGTATTCATAATATCTTTCAATATTTTTTTGAAAACTGTCAAAATGACTTAAGGGCTTAATAAGAACAATATCGTATAAACAAAATATAACGACAAATTTCCAAGCTGACCATTGTGGACCATTAACCTTAACCGTAATTAGCTGTAATATTATTCTATATATATATCTAAATCTACTAAATTTCTTTTTTATTATTTCTTTTTTTTAAAACGTTTGAAACATTAGTATATGAACATGTAAGACTTTTTGTTAAATTTACAGTTATGTAGGTAAAAGTATATTTCATTATCTTTTATAATTAATATATTATATTGTGTAAATATTATACGTATAAGCTTTGTCTCTTAAGCGTGTTTTTCTCTCACAAAATTTTAACATATACTTTGACGTTGTCAAAAAATAACTCAGTTATTTTAAAACTAGTCTCGAGGCTTTTTTAATAAGTTTATAAATATAACGTCGCTTTTTTAACAATAAAAATAATATAAGTATATTATTTTAAAATGAATTTAACTGAGTTATTTTTAAATTTTTCTGTCGCAGGATACTTTTCCAAATAAATTCTTCAGGAGAAAAAAAAAACTTATGCTTTTGAAAAAAAAATTTAGAAACAGTTCTGATGGAACTTTTATGGTTGCTTTTTTAAATAACGGAAGCAAAAAACTGACATATTCCAATTTTTCTGATAGCTGAAATTAGAACCTTGAATTGACAATTCGTTATACAAAGCCCTTAAATCTCCTAATTTGTCCCGTTATCTTAAATTTTTAGTAATTTCACTTAAATGTGAGTTTTAAAAAAAGTAGCGTGAGAAACATTGTGCTCTGACAATACTCAAAATTGGATAATGTTTACACATATTTGATGGGATTGCAAACCAAAAGACTATACAATATACAAATATATAAATAAATAGTCAAATAATATAAGGAACAATGAAAGTAATTTAGTGAAAGAGACAAGTCAAGGCAGATTTATTTCACGTATTCAAAACATTTCAATTAAAATAACCAAAAAGGGTTCTTTACAAATGGTTTGTAACTTTGTTTTACAAATTCTCCACAAATGATTTTTTCTAAGTTTCACACTTTTATAATCCAAAACAAAAAATTACCGCTTTTTAGTATAACCAAAAAATATTTATTTGTTTGATAAATACTTTGAAATTGACTTTTATAATATACTTATTTGTAAAGTTTTTAAAAGTTTTTTCAAGTTTTCTGTTTGATTTATTTTTTTTTAAGTAAGAGAAATTTCGCTTTGTTTCTGTTTTTAAAGTTTTTGCAAGTTTTATCCCAGACAGACCAATTTATGTATTTACTATAAATTTCGCTTAGACTAGGGTTGCCATTCGTAACCTTTTAAGTGTAAATGTTTACTTCTCATTACCTTACAGTGTGTTTATTTATCTTTTTTAAATTTTTTTTTTAAGGAATACACTTTTTTGACAAGAGAAAAAGACGATTTCGTTTATTTCAACTCTGTTAAAAAAACTGTGCTTTTAGTTTCTAGCCAAAGACATAACAGTTCGAAGTTATCAAGAGGAAATAGAAAATTTATCCTAATAATAAACAATGATCTGATCACAGGAATAGATTAAATATGAATACCATTAAAGATTGGAAGCTCGTATAATAAAACTTTCCGAAAAAAAAATGGAGAAAAGTACTAACAATACGAAAATAGAATAACACAAAAGAAAATAATAGTTAAGTATTATAGAAAATTGAAAGAAATTACGAATAATTAAAATAATAGTAATTATACATAACAATAAGCGAACCAAAGTTCATATCATATTGATTTAAGAAAAAATTTTGTCGTTGAGAAAGTTTAGTTTCGTTGAGTGTATCTCTTTCTCAACGAGAGAATTTTTTTTAAACTTAATTTTGCATGAATAAAAATATTCATTTTTCATACAAAAACTTTGCGTGTACCTATGTATGTAAATTACATTATACACTTTTTTTTATAAAATACGTTACATATATGAAACTACAATTTTTCCATTAGATGCGTCCACTTTTTAAAGAAAACAATATGGGAACTTAACTTAAGCACTTACCGAAATACTTCAGTTTTTGCCCGTTCATTAAGAACTGTATTAATTTCATTAGGACAAAACTTATTATTACCACTTTTTAAAAATTGAAAACCCCATTAATTTCCTAATCACCTTTTCATAAAATTTTATTGTATCAAGTCAATAGATTCATAAAATCAAAAATAATAAAAACAACAAAATATTTGTCTTCCTTGCTAATTAGGAAAACAAAACAGTCAGCATTTCATAAATTTATCGCCACTTTTAAAATGGAATTTTTTTTTATATGTAAATTTCTATTAGACATAAATTGTCTATTAGGTAAAACAAACTAATAAAATTTTATTCTTAAATGAAAAGCAAAACAATACTTGTACTATAAAACTACTCTCATTGACTAAATTTAACTCCAATATTATTTACTCGGGTTTTCATATGTTGCAAAATGTCCTCAGACAAATCTTCTACTGTTGTATAACGGCATTTTTGAAAGTTAAATATGTCTACTAAAAATCCTAAGGTTTGTTCCCTAAAATAATGACAAATATCACGAAGATTTTCATTAGGACCAAAAAATCCCCAAGCCATTAAAGGTGATATTTGTTCAGATATTGTGTAAAAATGTGACATAAATCCATTGGGATATTTCAACAATCTTTTTTTGGCTTTCAACACAGACCAAACAGCCGTGGTTAAAGCAGTTTCTTTAAATCCATTCGACAAAAACCGATTTTGAACAACAGCCATTACACTGCCTGGGGGATTTTCTAAATCTCGGAACGAATCCAATATTATGAAGTCAATACAAATGTCATAAAATGTCATTGCTTTTACATCACGAGCATCCAGTTCACTTTCAATAATCGACCAATTATTTTGGTCATGCAGAAATTGCATCAAATCTTCGTATCCAACCAAAAAATCTTTAGGATCTTTATCACCGAGACATAGTAAATCTGTTAACACTTGTCGACCAGTATCTGCCACCCATTGCCCATTTGCTTGATCCTGTAATAAAATTTAACATCATTTTTGTATATTTATTTAATGTTTGTAAATTAAACCTAACCTTGAATAAAAATTGAAATGCTAATCTAATGCAGTGTAATTTTGCTAAATATTCTAGATCTGTCGAGCATCCAACCATTTCTGTTCTCAACGTTCGACAAGGAATAGGGTTATCTTCAAATTGTTTAACAGCATTTGTGTATAATGGATATTGTTCAAATTCTGCGAAAGCTTCTGTAAAATCCTCGAATTCGCGTAAATCTGCAACCTGGTCAAGAGCTGAAGCAAAACTTTCAGCGGAATCGAAATTAGGATCAGATCCTGTTCGGCGTAGACGACTTGGTACCTTATCCGTTTCTTTTTCTAATTGTGTTTCTTCTCGAAATAACACTGAACGTTGATCTAAGAACAATAATTCACTTTGTTCTTGCAAAGTGTATGCCATATCTAACAAATTTTGAATTTCACGACAAAATTCAGATTCTTCTGCAGTTGTTAATGCAGCAGGAACTCCCCCTGGAGAATAATGTACGGCTAAGGCATCTTCCCAGTGATTGATCACTGCTTCTAGAGCTTCCATTCCCATAACTCCTAGCTGTTGGGAGGTTAAGTGAGGAGTTACTATCACGTTAGGTCCTACAGATCCAGAAGCTAAAGACATGCGATCTGACAAAGCAATAATAGAAGCAACAGGACTTCCAGACCTTGCAGATATCTTAGAACCAGCCACAGATATTAAATCATTAGGGCTGCGTACACTGTTCCTTGTTCGTCTACCTCCTCGCCTTTGTACTCTTAAAGAAAAATATTAACTTTTTATAATTTTCAAAACAAACAAAAAAATTACCGCCGTAGGGGTCTAGGTGTTTTTCTCCTGCGTAAAAACCGAGCTAAGACACCTAACAGAACAACACTAGCTGTTACAGACAAGGCAACAATCTGTTGTAAATATGTATTATGCTGATGATATTGTGTAAGTTAAAGAAAGAAAAAGTTACCTTTTGAGATGTAGACAACCTTACTGGTAGCATTTTGTAATTAAATAATTTAGGAGACAGTATATTACTGATCATACCTAATCTAAATTTTATTTTCTATAAATTCTAAGAAGAATACATTTTTCTTTTAAGTTTTGGTATATATTTCACTTTCGGAAAAATTTTTTTCTGTTATGTGCAGTTTTTGAGGTTAACGTTATATTTTTTATCTAAATCACAAAATAAATATTACTAGCTTTAATGTACTATATTTTTCATTAAACGCAAGAGCTGAATTTTCAAATTAAAATTTTAATAAATTACCAGAATTTGGATAACTTCTTGGCAATTCAAAAATAAAAACAAGGAAGTGAAAGCTGATGTTTTCTAATCAACAATAAATAATTTCTTTTCCCTTGGTACTGCATTAAAACATTAAAATGAAATAACACTGTGTCTTTCTTTTAAGAAATTACATATGACTCAAAATACGACATTTAAGCACTTCAAAGTCGAAAACGACACAATTCACAATGTTATGTTTAAAAATAATAATTTTGTCAGAGAAAGTGAAGAGTTACTTATGATAAATATGCATGCGTTTATTTTTGTATTTTATTACTTTTGAAATTCCTATATTTTTGAAAAAATTACATTTGACATTTTGAATTTAAATATTAATATGGGTATTTTTCTCTCAAAAGTAATACATAAATAAATTAATATATTTGACAATTCGAAATAAAGTAGACAGCAAAACTTTATTATACCATTTTCGGCATACAGGAATATAACAATATCAATAAATATATTAAAAGGTTAAATATATTTGGTTGTTTTTATAAAATTGCGCGCTGAGGTCTTTCTAGTCCAACTAATTACACTTACTGCTTCATTGGACAGTCGTTTTAAGTCAACATTTTTTTTTAATTTCTGTAGTAGAATAATGTAAGATAATAAACACAACGAAAATTATATTTTCATATATATTATTAACACAGCATTCCTGATTTAACAAATATCTTTCCCACAAAAATTAAATTGAATATATCAAAAATAATTTCACAAAATTTCAGAAAAATGTCAGTAATTTTAACACACGCCGATAAAATGTTCACACAGAAAAACGTCACCTAGAAGCAACAACTTATTAAAATATAATAAATAGGTTAAGGTTTTAATTAACGGTACGTAAAAATTAATTAGTGCTTAAAGTACTAAGTGAATTCAATAAATTTTTACAATTATATTTATGAATTTCAGCCATAAATCTATTGAATTTGTTCTTCATATATCTGTTATTTCCATTAACTGGTTTTACGGCTCATTGTTATAATGCTGATTCATAAAAAATTTATGAACCTGTAATTTAAAAAATGTCAATTTGAATTTTATTTTGATTATAAAAAAACTTGTTGGTACTGTTTCAATTTCCGTATTTTTATTTAAAATAAACTCTAACAATATACATTTTTTGCGTTTATTCAATATAAGAAAAAAAAATAAAAAGTACATATGTATAACCAACTTTTAATAGGTTCGCTTTTTGTTTTTAAGATTACATACGAAACAATTTTCTAGATTCTTACACCGTTAATTTTTATTACAAGTAACTAAAATTGTAAATACACAGTTCACAAATTTCTTGTGATAGATATATATTAAGTATGTATGTATGTATTCATGCAAAAAGCACAGCCGTTTTACATATACATATTTTATTTCTATTTATCTTTTCAAAACTGATTTCAAGCTTGTACACTTAATAAAACGAAATTAAATAAATTGTTATTTTACCTTAATTATTTAAATATTAAAAAAACGACAATATTAAAAGTATGCTAAAATTCGATAATAGATTTTTTCAATAAAATCTAAAGTTCGACTTTACATTAAATTTTTATGACAATGAAATAAACTAAGAACTAAATTTTTAAAATAGAATTTATAACTAAATGATATTATTCAAACTTCTTGATAAATTTGACATTTTTTTAACTTATTATATAATTCATTATAGACATTATTAATAATGAAAAATATTTAATTATTTGTACAAGTAATTCTTTAATGTAATGAATAATTAACTTACAAAGGAATTTCTTTATATTCTGGATCTGTTTCCGGTCTTATGTATGTTTCTCCATATTTAGCCATATATTTTTTTATGAATTCTCGAGATTTGTTTTTAACAGAATCCGTTACAATAAGAGTTTGTCCTGTAGAATCACAATGCTTCAATTCTTTTATCATTACAAAATGTGTAAGCTGAAAATAAAACAAAAAAGCCATGAAAAAAATTCTTTAAAAAACATCAGGCTATACATTACCTTTCTAGCAAGGTGTTTGAAATCTTCATTGGTTGTTATTTTACCCACTTGGCAGCTATCTTTTCTGTAAGGCTGTAGATGTTGCACAATAATACCAGCTATATCCGAACGAAATTTTTCTTTAGCTTTTCTAGCAAAATATCGATGGTTTTTATTAGATGTTTTGGATCTAAAATAAAGGAATAAAATTTTAAAAAATTGAGCTTTAAAACAATTGTAAAGTTTACTTTTTAACTTCATCGGAATTTTTATGTTTTTTATCTTCTAATTTTGATCTTTTCTTAAATTCAGCAGTAATATTACTACTAGTAGAGTTACTGGCCCCATTTCCATTCGACTTTTCTTTTATCGGCAGCGGTCTTTTTAAAGGTTTCTTAATTTTTAAAGCATCTAATTCATCTACAATACTTTCCCCTTTGACAATTTTTTCTATTAATTTTGAATCTAGCTCTTCGACTATGGTATCATCATCTTCATCAGAAGAAATTAAATAATCGGCTATAGGTAATGGATCTGATTCATTTAACTGATTGATATTGATATCGTCACTAGCTTGGTCAACGGTTTTTAACAGAAGGCGAACCTTACGACGTTTAATTTCTTCTTTTCGACGTCGTATTTTTTCTTTATTTTCTTTATAGCGCCGCATTTCATTTTGGTTATAAACCCGATCTTCTTCTTTTCTTGGCTAAAAATATAAATTATTTAATAAAGAAGGAATTCCTAGTTTCAGTTATATTTACGCTAATTGCTCTTTCTTGTCGCAATAATGATAGAGCATCCGTTTCATCAAAACCTTCACTATCAGAGCTTGAAGAACCTGAATAGTGATTATCATTTGTATTAATAGTGACGCTACTTCCAGATATAGTCGCATTAGTGGTATTATCAGGATTAACCAAAGGGAATATTTTTGGCGGTGGTTCCCATTGTGGACGCCGTATTTTTACATGATAATAATAAATTCGACCGTGAAGTGGATCAATAGCAAATTTCCAACCAGGTGGCAAATCCACTTTAGGCATTTTATAATCACATGGATTAGTTGATTTCAATCTGGGTGGAATTTTGATGTGTATCTATAATAAATATAACTACGTAAGTAAAAATAAAAATATTATTTTAACAAATAATTAAAATATACATGACTAGGAGGAGTTGGAATTTTTCGCTTATCTAAAGTGTACCAAGTATTAGTTTTCTGATCAACACAAAAAGGAATATCACGATGATGCGTTTTTGTGCAATCAAGTAGAAAAAATTTACACTTAAACTCGAATTCTCTCCTCGCTTCATACTCCAAATTACGACGTTTCTCTGCATTTAATTTTTCAGCTTCGTCCTGCGCAACCTGTATAAAGTAGTTTAATAGATATTTAAAAAAAAATTCTATTTATAACTTACTTTAGCTGCAAATGCCTGTCGCCGTTGTTCCTTTGTTAGTCCATCGTCTAATTTCTCTTGATCGTTTTTGCGACGTTCTTTATTAATATCTACTTTATTTGGCCAGCGTTGCTTAATACTGCTATCCCATCGGGATTTTTTGTATCTATCTCGACTTGTTTTGAAATCACGTTCGTCTTCAGCAACATTTAAAGCGGCATATCGTCTGTCCGCTTCCCGTTCATGTTCTTTCATTTGTTCAACTCTTTCTTTCCGAGGAATTCTAAATACTTCAGGTAAAACTTCCCAGTCATTTATTAGCTTTACAGCAAGATTTTTAATTTCAGATTGAGTTTCTTTTGCATTTTGATCTAATATAGTTTCGCTAGGTTTGTCTTTGACAGCAATTGCATGACCACTATTACTATCGCTCGCAGAACCATCTATTGGTGATATTGTGATAATCTTTTCTTGGGTCCAATTCTGTACTATTTGATAAACTTTACTTTCCTTTAACATGGTTTTGTTTGGTATTGGTAAACAGTTTAATGTTTCTAAAATCGCTAACCGCATTTTTAAGTTATCTTCTGTTGGGTTACTGTCTCTAGATTCAGATTCATTCATCCATCCATGTAGGAGTTTCAAACCATGATAATCTAAGAATAATCTTCTGCAAGGAATTTCACCTGCTCTTAATATTTCTAAAAGATTAATTCTAGTTTGCAATAACTTCGCTCTCACAATTAATCTACTTAAACGTAGAGTTTGAACTTGATTTTTGAGACCAGTTTTAGATAATCTGTATATTTCATCTTCCAAATCCGGATCTTCAAGGAAATCGTGTTTTTGTTGTGCTAATCTTATTTCGCGTTTTCTCTGTTTATCCTTTTTACGTTGCTCTCTTTCTTGCTGTTTAATTTTTATTTCTTCATCTGTTAATATTGCCTTGGTTTTGGCAGGTTCAATCAATTTGTCACTCAAATTTTTTTCACTATTAGCTTTTTCTTCCTCTAATATTTGAAGCTTATCTTTATTTGCATATGATTGAACATCTTTTGAAATTTTTTCTAAATCTTCCTTAGTTTTAAAATCTAACTCGATATCTTCTTCAATTTCCTCATCACTGTCAGGCTCCTCACCAATCCACCCCCGGCAATTTACTGCTTCACAAAAACATCTTTGAGCTTGTTTTCCATATCTTTGAAATTGGTAATCAAATGTGATTTCTTCTCCGGGAGCAACCGTTCTAGTTGTGAAAAATCCAATATGCAATTCCCCATTAACAGTCCACTTTTGAGTTTCTGCGTTTGGATCGCATGAATGATTTATAAATCGTGAAATATTTCCCCTTGAGGTGGCATCTATTATCGCATTAGATCTCAACGACATAAAATAGAAGTGCTTATTTTTACAAGCAGAATACTCCGCCGCACGTTTTTCAAATTGATCGCTATCAACAACTTCACCAACATATTCCATTATAAATTCTCCTGCTGGAATTTCTACATCAGCAAATATCCCACAACCTTTTTTTTCTGTCATAAATACACGACAAGGTGCGTATTGACCTCTTTGAAAACGTTTATTAGTGCAACGATCACCAACATTGCACTTAGGACCACACTCTATCATAAGTAACCGATTTAAACAGTCCTCCCCACAACCATACTCACCACGTTCTTCCTCTTCTTTTGTTAAAAAGCAATCACACATCATTCTTTTAGCTTCTTTGCTAATAACACGCTCACACTTATATTCATTCTCTTTTATTTGTTTGAATTGATTAAGACTATTTTCCATAGCCTTTAAAAATTTTGTGTTTTGCGCTTGAACTTGAGCTAAATCTGCACGTATTAAATCTTCGTAATCATTTCTTACGAGACCACCTCGCCCTATAGCATTTTGCTGGTTTTGTTGCATAGCAATTGATTTCAAACGATGGGATCGCCTTATTGTTGAGTTATTCGAATTGTGTTCATCATGTAAATCTGATGATTTTTTCAGCTTTTGTGAAAATGTTAAACTTGCAGAATTTTCATTCGATAGAATGCTATCATTCTCTGGTGAATATTTCAAGCTGGATTTGGAAACCGCAAAGCCCTCCGCTGACTTTTTCTTAATTTTTTTAAGTTCTTTATAAGTTTTTTTCCAGTCTTTTGAAAGCTCATTTTTCTTTAAAGTTTTCAAAAATTTTTTTAATTCCCTATCCTTTTGACTAATTTCACTTTTCTTTTTTGATTTTTTATCTATTTGATTTTGAATTAATTTTAGCTGTTCATCTAAAAATTGAATAAAAACATTATAAAAAAAATATTTATTATAAGACAAAACAGTTTTACCTAAAATAGTGTTTTGATTTTTTGGTGAACCCATAAATTTTAACTCATGCAAAGAAGCTATCATTGAGTTTGGTATTTTTATAGAAGTTGAAATAATACTATCTGCGATGTCGCGTTCTAAACTATTTTGTTCATAAAAATGACTTGCTTCTTTTTTATTGTCGTTTGTCATTTTATTTCTATCCAATTCTTCATCAGACAGTGGGGGAGGCAAAGGAGGTGTTCGAGGACCAGCACCTGTTTTCTTGTGAATTGGTGTTGATTCGTTGTAGTTGATCATTGAATTAAAAGAAACTTCATCGTTTAAGTCTTTGTCAATGCTTGAATCTATTTGATCAAACCATTCTTCACGCTTTTCTTTCTGCAAGGCTTTGATTGGAGTTAAAATATTGCATTTTAAGTGTAAAGAACTAACGTTTTCCTTACTCTCGATGATATTAATACTTGACAAATCGCAAATTAACTTAGTTTTTTCATTATCATTTTCCTTTTGCTCAAAACATTCGGGTGGAACACTTTTCTCATTGGAATCTTGGTTTTCGTTTTCGCAAGTCTTAGACGTATTCTGAAGATTGTTCGAAATTTCTGTATTTTCATTGTCACCCTCAATACTTTTTAATTTTTCTTCTATATCACATATAGTTTCTTTTTTATTCTCATCCTGTTCAGAAACTGTTTTATCGTCAGATGTTTTATTACGAATACCTCTTCGTCCTATAGATTCCTTTTCATCATCCGATGAGTGTGATCTGCTAAGAAGATTTCCTGCAGCTTCTAAAAAACTTTCAATATCTTTTAGAGGATCTAAAATCTCATTGGTTGATTCATTTGTTTCTTGATTTTCCTGTAAAGCTATTTGTAATTTCTTTGAAGTTTCCAATGTTTTTGGAGTTTGATTGACAGTTTCCATTTCAATTTCTTTACCACTATAATCTTGAACTTTGGACGTTTCAGATGATTTATTTTCTTTTTCAAAACTAGAAACTTCAATATTAACGATTTTCTTAGATGTTTGCTCAGGAAATTCACTTATTTCTTTCTCTAAATTTTTAATAAAGTTTTCTTCTGAGTTAACATCACACCTCAAAACTTTGTTATGAGGTTGTGTTGTAAATATATTTGAGTCTGTACATTCTTCTAAGTTTTCCTTGGACAAATGCTGTTCGCCATTAATATCTGCAACTTTTTCAACTGCTGAGCTATTTTCTTCTTTTAAAATTAAATCGGACGTAGAATTCGTGGATCTAACACTTTCTTCTTCATCTACACTTTTATTGCGTCCTTTTATTTTAATTTCTTCGGCTGCATCGATTTTATTTTTGATTACATCACTTTCTAGACTTTTTTCAAGATCTTCATCTTTATTAAATATGCTTTTATCAATTTTCTTTTCTTTTAAAATTTTCGGACTCTTGTCTAATCCGAGAAATTTTTTTTGCATTATATCGTTTTCATTTTCAAATTTCAAATCAGCAATATCAGTTTTTGAAGTTTTATCTTGAGCAGGTATAGTTGTTTCGGTTTTCTTTTTCTTTTTGTTGTACACCTTTTGAGCCATTTCATCTTTTGCAGCAAAATTGAAAATATCAATGGTTCTCAAAGATGTTTCGTTTTTTAAACTGTTATATATCTCATTTTTATTATTTTTATCACTTTTCTGCCTTAAATCCTCTTTGTCTGATTTAGAAATTAGTTTTTGTGTAAAAGAATCTGATTTGCTTTTTGTTTCAACTTTGGTTTCACTCCTATTTTTTAGTTCATCTTTATCTTTACCTTTTCTATCTTGTTTAGCTAATTCTTTACTTTCTTTAGTTTTGATTTCTTCTTTAACCTTAAAATCTGTTTTTGAAGTATTTAGTTTTAATTTGTTTTCAAATTTATCTTTTAACTCTTTTTTAGACCTAGAATCATTCGACGATTTATAAAGTTCCTTGTTTACTTGTTCTTTTGATTTGTGATCTCCTTTATAAATTAACTCAGTTTTTAACTGGCTATCATATTTGGCTTTATTTTCTTGTTTAGACTTATTTTCTTCTTTTGATTTTAGTTTTTGATTCTTATCACTTTTCTTTTTAGTCGAATCAGTTAAAACTTTTGATTTAGAATCCATTTGAACCTTTTCAAGCCAAATGTCCATACCTGTTTTAGATTCTTTTGGCTTGATTAGCTGAACTGTACTTTTCTCTAAAGTTGAAGTTAATTCATCCCTATTTTTTTCTACCGATATTTTTTCATTGTTAGATACTTCCAATAAAATTGGAGAAATTTCATTAAAGCAATCTTCAGATTTTGTTGAAATTGGTAAATGAATTTCCTCGCTACTTTTTAAATTAGCTTGATTATTTTCAACGTTTGCTTCTCTTAGTTGTAAGACTTTTTCATCCTTTTCTTTATCTTCATTTTTTTGAAAAGATTTTTCCACTGATAAATTTGATATCTCGCAAAACTGAATATTATTTTCAATTTTTTCTGTTTCTATTATGTTTAACGTACTCTCACCAGTTTCTGTTAAAGATTCAATTTCTACAACTGCTTCAGTTAAACATACTACTTCTGAAGCACTTTCTGCCAAACATACAACTTCTGAAGCAGTCTCTGGTAAGAAGAAAACTTCTGTCTCAGACTGTGATTTTTCATTTAAGTCACTTAAACTTTCTACTGTACCTTTGCAGTCATTTTCTAAAATCTTTGCTTCAGCATTGCAATTGCTCAATTTATTTAGTGAAACTTCATCCCTTGAAAGTTTTTCATAATTGTCTTTCTTTTCATTAATATTCAATTGTTTAGATTTTTCCGTGTTGCAATTTTTTTCTTTAAAGCTAACCATACTTTCCCCTTTATTAGCTTCTGTTTCTGTTTTACCTACAGGAGGAACATTCAAATTATTTTTGTAACTTTCTTCAGTTTCTTCCAAAAGATTTGAAGCACAAGGTTCATTTTCGATAAATCGATTACAACGTTCTGCCTTTTTTAGTTTTATATTGTCAACACTTTTAATTAAAACGCGTACCTCTTTCATATTTTTACCTATTAAATTTTCATTTTGTTTAGAAGTACACATGGTTGCCGAATCATTTGCCTTCAATGTTTCGCATACATTATTATTAGTACTAGTTTCCTCCTGCGGTTCAGCTTCTTTTGCCCTAACTGTTTGTATAAAATTAAAATCATATTTTATTTTAGTTTCTTTAAACATGTAATTTAAAAAACTTTACCTATTAATTTTTCCGAAAAATTCCTCAAAATATCTGTTTTAGTTTTAAGTTTTTCATCTTTGGGAATAATATTTTCGAACTTAATTGGATTGTAAGAGTTATGAAATTTCTTTGGTAAACCAATTTCATAACGTATTAATTTTTCTGATGTACCTTCACATATTTTAAACGCGATTGGTACATCAACTTCCAAATTTTTCATTGATTTACCTATGATTATGTTATCTAAATGAGCATCCTTAGAGAGTGTGAAGGTTGGATTAATATTTATATTTTTTAAATGTTGTGTAGGTGATTGTTCCAAGAGGAAATTATTGGCTTCACTTTTACTTTCATTCGCAGTTCCGAATTCATTTGCTAAATCTTTTTTATTAGATATTTCAGCATCAATTGTGAAATCTGTTACATTCAATGTATGGTCAGTTTTGGTTTTAACTGGAACCGGACTGAAATTCAAGCTTTCCTTCTTAATTTTTGGTCTACCCGGACGTCTCTTTGTTAGGATATTATGTGCTTCATTTTGATCGAATGTTGCTCCTTCATTTTTTCTTTCTGCTATGTATGATTTCATCATTTTCTGATCATCACTAACGTCTTGACTAGATATTTTTCTTGGGACACTCAAACGGTTGTCAGCAACAATTTTACCTTGAATTTGAATTAAAGATTTTGGTGGGGATTGTTTTTCTCTAATCATACCATATAAATTTCCACTGATATCTTTTGGAGGAAAATCACTTTCGGTTTGGGGAAATTTTCTTATAATGCTTGGTAAATCGTTTATTTTCGGAACTACTTTCGTCGCAAAGCAATCATTTTTGACCGTTTCGGTATTTGGATTTGTACTAGAAAGTTTGGATGAATTCAGTTTAGATTTTGCTGGCATCGAATCGATTCTAGCTTCTATTTGAATTTTTTTGTGACTTTTTTTATTTAACAAATCGCAAACATCATATTTTAGAACTTTTTTTCTTGTATTTCGAACAAAATTCGGGTTTATTTCGAAACTCGGCGATGGTTTCCCCATTTGAACTTTATTTTTATCAACTATACTGTCGTTTTCTACAGGTTTATCTATTTTATTTGATTCAGAAAAATTATTTTTGGTAGTAGTACTATTATCGAGTGTTGTATTTACAAATTTACGTTTATTTTTGTAAGTTTTAGTAGATGACGGATTAAACTGAACGTGCAGTATTTCAGGGGATGGTAAATTTCTCTCCACATTTGGATTGCTGTGAAAGGTTTTTAAAACTGGATTAGAATTACTATTTTCTTCTGAACTAATTGTTATAACGCTCTCGCTCGAAGTTTTTGTTTCCATTTCAAAATTTGTATTCCTTAATTGCTGCTTTATTGTATCTGCATTTGCTATCTCAATTGTTTCCTGTGTACTATTTTCCAATTGAATATTAAAAATGTCCTCATTTTCATATACTTCGTTTTCAAACTTTAAAAGGTCGTCATCATTTTCAACATATGATTTTCTAAATGATCTATGCGTTTCTGTATCCGCAATATTTTTTCGTGGTCGACCTCTTGATCTTTTAACTTCTTTTATTGCTTCTTCACATGCACCCTAAAATAGTATTTTTTTTTTCTTTTTAATTTTGTTTTTCCATTTTTATTATTAAAAAAACATGTATAAAAAATAAAATATGATGCAACTTCTACTATGAATTTTTTATAAAACTTTTGGTAATGTTTCGAATGCGAGCAAAAATTCCAGTATAACAGTTTTGCTAGAGTCATTAAAATTTATAAAACTTTACTTTAATTAATACTTTAAAGCATAATAAAAGGTAAAGGAAATAAGTAGAGAAACTTCACTAAGTTCATGTTTTCCTTCTTTTAAAATGCTTTTAAATTATTTTGTTCACATATTTTTTAAAATTGTAAATATAACAATCACATTTTTTTATTTTGAATCTATCTACATGAACAAAATTAAGTATTGATTAGATACAATTTTTAAATTTATGCTTAAACACTGAATTCATTCAACAAAATATAAACTTTTTAAAACACAGTAATCTAAAAATATTCCACATTTTATAAGCTTAGGAAATTAAAAACAAAAAAAAAACTGTTATACTATGTCATATATTGATCTACAAATGGACTCACTTTTTTTACAGAAGGCATTGAATTTATTAGAATCTGTCTTTTGGCATTTTTTGTTGTCTCATGTTCAATATTTTGACTTTGCTCTTGAAAAATGCTTTCATCTTCATTATCTTCATCATTTTGTGATAAATCTATATTTTCACTTTCATCTGCATTTGATTTTTCGTAATTTGCACTTAAAGTATTAAAGTTTTTCGTGCGTCCCATTTTTATATATAAAATTTTTTTTCTTGTTTCAAAATATACATAAATGTACGTAAATCATCTATATTAACAAAAAAGAATTTAATAATGCTTTAAATTAGATAAACTTTTAGCAAACTATACACTCACCTATTAAATTATGTTTTCGAATGCTAATTAATAGTAATACTTCAATTCAATTTTCTGCTGAAATATACATATGTAATTATACTTAGCTTTGAGAGGCAGAACCAATTTATAAAATGAATTGTAAAGTGTTGAAATGTGATGCATAATCTTAAAATTTTTTAGCTATTATTGATGTGACTTACTTCCTTCTAATAGACAAAATCGATTATTCCACAATATTTCGAATTAAATTGCTTTAATTTCTTTTATAAAAACTTGTTATTGAGCCACAAAACTTTTACATATCGCCATTAATTTTCAATTTTACTTCTTCAATACTTATCTTTCAAAACTTGTGTTACCATTTTCATTTTCTAAAAAGCGTTCTGAAAATGTTTTAATTAATATATATTAAGGACACAAACCTTCGAAATTTAAATATCAGCTGATTACAATTGACGTTTGATTGACTGCAAATAGTAGCATAAAGTTAACTTTATCCTAACCCCATTTTTTATTATGTACTCTATATTTTTAAATTTTGCCAGAATCAAATTGTAAATTGTTAAAGTATGTTGACAATCAATTTATTAAAGGCAAATACAAGTAAACATATCGTTATTTCCACGATAGTTAGGAATGGTCACACTATAAGAGGAAAGCGTCCAGGTGTAGCAAGAAGCTTAGCACAAAGATTAGCTGACGATGAGAGGAATGAAAACACAGTTTTGTTACCCAGAGTAAATATTGGCTTTGCTTGTAAGACCCCATCTCGAAAAGAGGTTCGTCAAAGCCGTATAGAACACTTAAAAAAACAAAAACAAAACCAAGATTTGGAAAGATTATCTAGAAGTAACAGTTTGTCCATAAATTTAGATGCAGTAAGAAAAGAGTCTAATTTTACCGCAGCTCCTTTTCAACTTAAAACTATTGCTGATCATTACGGGATATACAAAGACTTATTTGGCAATGCTTATTTTATTCCAAGGATAAATATGGACATTTTCTTTACTGATGAAAATAAAAATAATCACAGCATATTTTACGGTAATGTTTTGTCAGCTTCCTGCACTGTAAATGAACCAAACATTACCTTCGATCATAACAAAAACCTTTTAATAAAAAATTTTGATAGCAGCGAAACATCATATTGGAGTATCCTAATGGTGAGTCCTGACACCCATCTATTTAGTGGAAAAAATGAAAATTTCTTAAATTGGTTTATTGGTAATATTCCAAACGGTGGAATTAAAAATGGTGAAGAAATCTGTAAATATCTTCAGCCAATTCCAGCAAAGGGTTTCGGTTTTCAAAGGAATGTATTTATTTTATTTAGGCAATCAAAACTAATTGATTTCCAGAAATTTAAAAACAAATCGTTTAATGATTTATTAGACCGACATTTTAATGTTTTGGAATTTTATAGAGAACACCAAGAAAATATAACTCCTGCTGGATTATCATTTTTCCAAAGTGAATGGGATGAAAGTGTTACAAAAATTTTTAATAAATTAAATATAAAGGAACCTTCATTCACTTACGACTTCCCAAGACCTTACTTGGCTGATCAGAAATGGTTCCCTTTAAAGCAGCCATTTAACTTATACATGGATAAGCATAGAGCTGACCATAAAAAAATTAATAAAAATTATTTAAACAAATATCTTTTTAAGGACATAGATGTTCCAATCAAATATCCAATGGCGCACCCAATTAAAGGGGTGCCTTCTTGGATGATAGCAGAAATCAAAAAGGAAAGATTGAAACTGTTTCAAAAAATGGATAAGTCTTAAAGTATAAATTGAAGTGAATATTGTGTTTATATTTTTAAATATACTTATATTGTATATGTATACTTTATTAAAAAAAAATTCTTTTGTACATTTTATTTTATTCCAAAGCATCGATAAAGTTGCCGAAATAGTTTAAAAAAATAGCTCTCGAGTCATCAGACAAAATATCAAAAGATAATTTTATTTTTGAAACATCATAACTTATGATGGCACGAGAAAACTTTGATTGTAAATTTAAAATAATATCCATAAAAATAGCTGTGGCCTTTACATATTCCAAAGATAATAAAGTATATATGTTTTCAGTAACTTCAAGATTTTGGACAGCTACAGCAATTAATTTTTGTTTAATCTCTGCAGGCAATATCGAACCTAAAATTAGAACTGACATTAAATGTTTGTGAAATTGACGATGATGAAAATATTACTGTTGCTTAGAATCAATCGATTTCCAATATTCAAAAGGGTTGACATCAAAATTGGTTTATAAGCATGAGTACCAACTAAAGAATATTTTGCTTTTTCAAATATGTCAATTATTCGGCTTAAATCATTTATTTTGTGATTTTTACAAGAATTTACATATTGCGTTAATTGCTCAAATTGTCTAATCCAATCCATATTAACAACACTTCCGCATTTATTACACTTTAAACCTGACAATTGCAAGAGGTCTTCTTCCAACCAGTTAAAATTCGTACAAAATTTTTGTTTGCAATTATCACAAAATAAAAGGTGATGTTTTTTCTATAGAAAAGTCGAATATGTATATTAACATATTTAAAGATATTAACACTTACGAATTCCGTATCGTTTTTATCGGAACAAGGACCACATGTACAAGTAAAATGATATTGAGCTTCTAAATCCCGCAGCCTGCAGTCTCGATCCAATAGTTTGCAGTTTTTGCCATAAGAGTTTAAAATTTCCTCACCGATTTCGAAGTTATCGTTTGCAATCACATGCAAGTTTGCTTCACAGAATTTGTTATAGAAATTGGGTTTGCAAGAGTGATTGTACAAACTCGTACGTGGATATATTGCAGCAAATAAAGGAGTAATATTGGCAAAACGACTTAAATATCCATTTTGTATTTTATATTTACTTAACCAAATATTCAAATCTTCTTCTTCAGTTATTTTAAAATCTATAATCGTATGAGCATTTGAGACCATTTGAGCCAGATGTCTTATTATAATCGCAGTTACTATTACTTCCCAATACGATCTTGTAATAATTTTGTAAAAGCTAATATCGTCTTCAAAATATTTTGTCAGATCTTTCAAATAGTTTTTCAACATCGCTCCAGTTGCGGCATATCTTTTAACGTCCAACCAACTCATTTTACAAAAATTAGTATTTAAAGATAAAACAGAGGCATATTTTGAGTCAGTTTTTTCAAAATATTGAACTATTTGCCATATACTCCTTTTTGTGAGAACCTCATCTTTATATTTTATTTTAACATATTTTTTGAATTCATCTATACCTATAAGAAAAGTCCTTAACGCCAATCGACCTATTCCTATTTGCATTGTTATATTTCTTCTAATCGCACTACACTCAAAATTATGAAGTTTTGAAAAATCTCTTTGACATTTTAAAGAGCAAAAGGAAACTGATAGGCAATCAATACATGGAAAGCAAACTGAGTTTGCTTTAGCACAAGTTTCGCAGTGAGATGTCAAAACTCCCAAATTTTTGTCTAATGGTACGAAAGCAAAAGCTTTTTCAACCATTATCGTTTCATTTTCCCGTATTTTTTCTCCTGCTACAACAAATCTGCCTTTAGTTGAATCTTTCAAACTAAATAAGATTAGCTTAAAATTGAATGAACGAGTCAAATCCTTGCCTTTCTACTTACATCTTTTGTTCTTTTCCTTTTTTTAAACTATCACTGGCTTGTACGTGAGCCTTATTTATTGGTGCATCTTCCCCTTTTAAATTAAGTAAATCAATTTTTAATTGATTAATTTTTTTTTCGATATCCTCCGAATTAGAGAGTTTATATAAATTATCAATTACATTTTCTATTTTCTGTACATCTTTAAGTTTCACCGCACAGAAACTTTGTCTAAAATAAACTTTTTTTATATTTTCTCTAGGATATCTACTTTGAATAGCAGCCTCACAGTCATCATAAGCCTCCTAAAAAGCGAATTAGGTAATCGTCTTTCATTAAACACAAAGTTAATATTTACCTGGAAATATTCAAGTTTAATCAACGCTGCTGCCCGATTGGCGTGAGCTATCGCTATAGAATTACCTTTAAAATAATGACCAGTAAAATTTTCTTATAAATGTTGAGATATGTATGTAAATACGCTTACTATTTTTCGAACTGTAAAGAGCCTTTGTATAACTATTAAGAGCACGATAAAAGTTATGAATTGTTCCAGTTTTGTAAAATTCGTTGCCTTCCATTTTATAGAGTTCATAACTTGTTTCATTTTCTCTGCTAATTTCTCCGCAGTTCATTAAAAAATTTTTACAAATTTTCCTAAAATTAATTTCGGTAAACCAAACACATTTAATTTTCGGTAATAAATACCCGTAATATTCAGTTTCAAGGATTTCAGCCAAACACAATTCATTTCTTATATCTTTGTCTTCATTATCAAATATTTTTGGATCTTGAATTATTGTTTCAATCAAATCATACCATTGGCAACAACTTCCTTTAAAATATGTATGTATAAATCGAATTTTAATACTTTTTAAATTTTTAATAATTTACTTACCGGAATCAATCATTTATTCGTTTCTCTTCTTTAATATTTTTAATTAACAAAGTTATTATTTTTTTATGATTTATTACAAATTAAAATTAAGAGCTCATCACTGTTATCTGAAGAAAAATTTATAGCAAAATTCAAAACATACAGTAAGGTGCTCTACACTTTTGAAGAATTCGCGTACTTGTCAGATCTTTTTTATTCGCCAGATTTTTTGTCCAATTCGCCATGCATAATTACGAACTGTCAACTTGCCAGATGGCATAATAAGCCTATTAACCCTTATCTTATATCTGCGCACACAAAATAACTTCCTTTTGTGTGTATACAAATTTCAAAAAATTTTAGAAATTTTAAACGGAAAAGATATTGAAAATTATTGATGAATTTCGGTTCGAAGAAGTTGGACTGTTTGGTTTTGTTTTTTTTTTCAAATTGTTAAACATTCGATTCGCTTTATTATACTATTTTAAATTAACATTTCAAGGGAAAATAAAATTTTATTTGCTTAAAATATTGAATATATAAGAAATAAATTGAAAAATCTAAAAACATAATTTTTTTAAGTCTCCATATATAAATTTAAACCTAATATTCCAACTTTAATTATTAAAAACATGAACCAATCACTTTTTACTTGGTAACTTGGTAATCACGAATTTGCACTAGGGCTTACTTTATATTTTTGACACATAAGGAATTATTTTTCGGAATTTCTTAAAGTCTAATATTAAATATAATATCTTTTTGCTAAAAAAAACTAACAGTCAAGTTTAACAAGGAAGCTGAATTGTTGAAAGTGAACTTATGATTGCATTTGCACTAAGAACTTTTGTTCTGAGTCTACATTATTTATTAGTTTACCAAAATGTTTAGCAAAAAGTAGATTTGATACTCTTCGCAAAAATTTTACAGTTTTGGTAGACGCCCTTAAGTATGATTAGTTTGTAAATTTGAACAAAAATTTCCTTCTAATGTTTATAATATGTATTACATGTTTCAGATGTATATTGAATTATTTTAAACACATTATTATCACAATGCCGGAGTTTATATTGTTTTTGACCTTTTAATATAATATGATAAACAATTATTTTTACATTTAAAAATATAGGTACATATTTAATATTGAAAACTTTAAAGTTGAGTACGCTAAAATTTCTAAAAGCGCATTTATTTATTAACTGTTAGGTACACAATATTCTCTATGTTATTTGCCGTAAAATAACATACATACATACTTAAAATTCAATTTCTTATATCTTAACAGTTCAAAACATTCACAATACGCACTTAAAATAAAAACGTAACTTTGAAGATCAAATAAGAGATTTTTAGCTTTCGCAAGTTTTACTAAAATTAATTTTTGTTTTTAACTTGTAACATATCTTAATAAAATTTTATTTCTTTCTCGTTTTTGTTTTTCGTTTCTTGTTTTATATAATTTCTTTAGGGACGCTAAGGAAATGTATTAAATTTGAAACTTTATGTTGTTTCGAACATAATGATTCTTTTTGAACACCACCAAATAATATCAATTCATTTTTACCAGGAATCATGGAAGCAAAAATGAGTCTCTCTGGTGCCCCCGAAAGAATTCCATAATTTTTATATTCAAGCCATTCTAAAAATGGATCATTCGAATTAAGAATATTTGAAATATCACAAACGAACATTCCTAAAACATTTCGTTTTGCTCGTTTTGGCTTTGGTTCTTCTGATTGAGGTTTTTGTTGATGCTGAGCACCATGAATTGGACGGTTGTGTTGTAATTGACGTTGCTCTTGAGTTTCATTATTCGCTTTATCAACTAAAGCAGCAGCTTCGGCCGCAGCTGCAGCTTCTTGTTTTTTTTTCGCATTGCGAAATTGATTGAGTTTTTCATTTAAGCGACGAACACGCTCTTGTTGTCGATATTCTTTCTGTATTCGAATAGGATTATTTTGTTGTACGTTAAAGGCAGCCATACAAATGCGACCATCTTGTTGCTCATTAAATCTCAATGGCAGTTTCACATCATTATCTCTTGCACGAAGAGCTAAGTTTCTCTGTAGGCGATTTACAGCATCATTGAGTCCTTGCTGATGATGTAATTGACTACGTAGAGAGCCATGCAATTCTGGAGAAAACTGGCAGTTAGGTCGAACAAGAGAATCTAAATAAAATTTAAAAAAAAACTTTATTTTAACATGTTTCCGATAATTTGGAACAAACAAACCTTTAGAATTTTCAGTTTTTGGTACAGGATTTTGAAGCGCTTCTCCAACTTCAAAATTTTGATTACAATTATGGCTGCTATTATCGTTACCACCTTTATCATCATTTACAATATCATTATTGTTATTATTGCTATTTTTATTATAAACATTCATGTCATTTGGAATATTATTCCTGATTGGTATATTATTATTTAAAAGCTGCTGTTGTCCAATATTGTTTAAATTTCTCGGAACAGCAGCTTGCCTCCTTTCATCAAGTCCCCTTATATTTATTTGGTCTATATCACGTATTTGAAATCGATTCCTTTCATTATTATCTAAATCGCCATTCTGACCTCGTAAACCTCTTCCAACTTCAATACCTAGTCTATTTAAAGAATTATTACTTTTTTGCTTTAATATTTGAAAATCTGCTGGAACACTTGGCGTTGGACCGCAAACAATTATCTTGTTTCCAATTCGACATGCAGGACTATTCCACATATGTGTAGCAGCCCACTTACGATTCCTAACAGGTATATTATGCCACTGCCATGCTTCTTTGGTCATATCTAAAATCCAACAATCACTAAATAAATTGTTGAATCCACCAGAGCCTCCCATTATCATTAAGTGGAACTCATCTAGGGCTATTTGCATTTGACCATATCTTGGAGCTGGTCTGCTATTTGTGCTGGCGCCTACGATAATAGGTTTTCGCCACTGAAATGTTTTTAAATCTAATGACCAGACATCGTTTGAACTAGTGTTTTGTCCATCATCACATTGATACCCTCCAAATATTATCATTTGATCGCCATGCAGTGAGGCCGAATGACCGGCTATTAATGGTGGAGTTATTAAAGAATTTTGAACAAACCATCGATTTTCTTTGATATCGTAGCAGTGCAACTCATCAAACAGACACCATGGTTGATGTGGTGGGTGAAATGATGGGTATCTCCATCCGCCAAATAATATGAGTTTATTTTGATAGGGTATCATTGTTGCCGATCCTTTTGGAGATGGATAGCTTCCTAAAAGCATTATCTGTTATTGATGAATTTATGAAAAAAATTTTTTTTTGTAGTTTGCAAATATGTAAAAGCTTTAAAAAAGCTACTTATTTCAAAAGGTAACGTTATAATTTACGTAGCATGATCATGTTGCAATGAAAAGTTCAGCAAAAAAATGCAAGCGCGCATTTGCTTTCGTGATATTTTCCAAAAGAGAAAGCTTATTTAAACAGAGGATTTAAATAACCACTTTTTTAAAACGATCTTAGAAAAAAAAATTAAACATAAATTTTTACTGCACATGATTGTGAATATATGAAAAATTTGTAAGAAATTATAGTAAAGCTTTTTAAAAACAAACATAATAGTTAACCCCTCCAAGCAAATACTACATGAAATTTCTTGTGTTAACCTGTTTTTAAATTTTTACGAATTTTCTTTTTTTTGTTTATTCCTTTTTTTACTTAATTGCATAAATAACTTATAAGTTGCGGAAAAAGTCTAAATTTTATAATTTAAAAATAAATATGAAAATCCCAATAAAATATTTATTTTCATTTCACATATTTTTGCTTTTATGCTCGCAAGAGAGTAATGTAAAAGCTAACGTTATCAGAGGACTATTTGAAGCTGCTACAAATGGGCTGTTTGGAATGCCAGTTATTCATCAAAAGTCGGAATGGAATTTTTCACCAGATTCAGGTGAAAAATATCGCTCAAGTTTTTATGAAGTAGAAAATAACGTTATTCATATATAAAATTTGATGGTTTTTTTATGAATTTTTTCAGCAACATGGATTTAGAGCAGCAAAATATGTGGAACGTATTGGATTAGGTCATGATGGAAATGAAACACTTCGTGCAAAATTGCAAAATATTCGTGATGAAGGACGCTTGAATGGAGAGCATTATAAAAACTTTCCGTAATCATAAAAACTTTTTAAACCTAGAAGATTTAAAATTTTTTTTTAATCATAATTTAAAAACCTACATATTTAAAACATAAAATGTTATTTTTGCCGATAGTAAAAGAATCAAAAATTTTTCTTTCGAATTAAGGTAGTTTTCATTAGAATATCCCTTCTTGAATTTTATGGAAACATACTTATGTATGCAATTGCATGTTTGGATATGGATGCAGCATGTTTACAAAAACAAGTTTTTCTATTTACCCATTGTTACTGGTCTTATCCACTGCCTTTTAGAAAGATCAAACCGCCACAAGTCATTGAACGTTGTATCAGATGATGACCCACCACCAAATATATACATAGAATCTTCATGAACACAGTAAGCATGAGAAAATCTTCCACTTGGAAAGATTTGACTTGATGTGTGGGTTGTCCAACAAAGATAGTAGTCTGTCAAACCTTTCAAAAAATTAATTTTTCCCCTATATAATACATCTGCAATTTAAATATTACAAAAATAAGCTCATTGATTTGGGTAAAGTAAACAATTTAAAAGAAAGCAGAAATGAAACATTTTCTTTCAATTTTCAATAATATTCAAACAAGTACTTACTGTTTACTGCCTCATCCCATCGTCTGCAAACATTCCTACATACTTCAAGATCCTTATAAGGAGGCAGATAACTTAGTATAAATTCCAAAATTTCATTTGGAAGATCATTCAATTCAATCATAGTAAATTTAATATTTTTCTAAATTTACTTTTCTACTTTACTGTTTTGACAAAAAAAAACTCCCTTCTTAATTTTCGTTGACGTTTTGGATTAAAAGAAAAAAAAAACTTTTTAAACCGTCAAAGTGAAAGTTACCGTTGTGTTATAGTTTGTAGTTTTCCCACAAAAATAGCCAATTCATAAATTATTATGTAGAAATATAAAATCGCATTTTTCATAACCGGTCGGTTTACAAATCAAAAACTAAACTTTAATTTTTTTAGATGAACTTATTTAAATGCTAAACAACAAGTTTATTTTTGAGTAAAATTTTTCGAAGAAATTAAATTATTTGATTATAATTTGACCTTTGTTATAGTTAACTTGAATTAGTTACTAATTGTGTCACTTTCTGTTTACAATAAAAATGAATATTTAATAAGAAAAACTAAGAAATACTAAACTAACTAAAAAGAAATATTTAATTTTTTAAAGAGAAATATTAAACTAAAATAAATTTAAAATTTTAAAATATATGCCAGTACTTTTTTTTTATTTTAGATGCTCTAAAAGCAGCCTAATCAATAACGAAAGAAACTCCAAATCTTGAACTGACTTTTTGAAAAATTGAAATTAGAAAAAACTATTTCTTGTACTACTAAACTACAAAAGTTTTTTTTAAATTTCTTTAGTTTATTTTCTACAAAAAAATTTGTTTTATGTTAAGGGAACTTACAAAAAGAAAAATAGCGGATTTGTAATTTTTTGCATAAAGTATGTATTTTCTCTACAGTTGTTAGTTTCTATTATTTCATATAATGTCAATTATTGTAGTAACTCTGCTACAACTAAATGTGCGCAGTTCTAACCGTGTAATATCATATTGTTCATGACAAATTCATTACAGGTAAAATTTATTCATGACATTCAGGTAAAATTTTATTGTTTACCAATAAGAAAAGTAGAATGCATAAACTTATCAAAAAATATAAAATTTTCAATGAGTTTTTGGTTTACGTTAACAATGGAAAAGGTTGTCAACACAAAATTAGTACAGCGGCCACTTTAAGTGCTATTAAATCTATGAACATTTTTGATAGAAATGTAAAAAAACTTCAAAAGGAAAGAGCAGCAGCAAGGTAATGAAAGAAATACTTATTCAACAAGTTGAACGTTTGTTTGTTTTTAGTCCTGATGTTAACCTATATGATTACTTGAAAGAGGAAGTTGGTTTCCGATTATCTGATAGAATTTTCGATATTAAGCGAGAATTTGAAAAGGCAGTGGATTTGGGATGTAGTCGAGGATATTTGTCCAAACATATTTTAGCGGAAACAGTTAAACAGTTAATTTTGTGTGATACAAGTTCTAAAATGCTTGAGCAAGCGGAAAGTACACCAGGATTAAAAATTACTAAATTAGAAATGGATGAAGAAAAGTTGGATTTTGAGGAAAATTCTATAGATATAATCATGTCGAATTTAAGCTTGCATTGGGTAAATGATTTGCCTGGATGCTTTTCTAAAGTATTACGGTGTTTAAAACCAGACGGCGTTTTTATGGCATCTTTATTTGGTGGTGATACTTTATATGAATTGCGTTCTTCGTTACAACTTGCTGAACTCGAACGTAAAGGTGGTATAGCTCCGCATATTTCACCATTTACACAAATTCGTGATGTAGGCGGCTTATTAAATCAAGCTGGTTTTACAATGCTCACTATTGACACGGATGAGATAGTAGTTGGCTACCCAACAATGTTTGAGCTTATGTACGATTTAAAAGGTATGAGTGAAAATAATGCAGCTCTTAATCGTCCCTTACATTTAAGCAGAGACGTCATGATGGCAGCTGCAGCAATTTATAACGAAATGTATCAAAAGGTGAAAAATATAATATAATTATATGTGTGTAATTATAAAAAAAAATTAAAATATATCTATTTTTATCATAATGTATATCTTATATATCATAGGAAAATGGTGTCTCTGCCACATTTCAAATTATTTATTTCGTTGCTTGGAAGCCGGGGCCCAATCAACCACAAAGCTTACCAAGAGGTACTGGCGAGGTGTCCTTGAAGGACCTGGGAAAGGTAATTGAAGAAGGAGCTAAAAAGAGTAAAAACTTAAAAGAGTAAAATCGTGGTATTAGGAAGTTGGATACGCTTATTTACAAATAGATTTTTTAGAAAAACTTGTATGTATTTTTATTTACTATCAAATGTAATTTATTTTGTATTATTGATGGGCAATGCATAATATGTATATCACGATAAAACAGGATGAGAAAACTGTTTTACTCACTAATTAAAGTACATATTTGCTAATGGTATAAAAATGAAAATAAAAATTACGATTATCTATTGCGATATGAAAAAATTAACTTATATAATTATATTACTTACTTTAAAAAAATAAAATATTGAACTAATTTTATTTTTTATAAAATTAGGAAAAAATAGAACAAAACTGTTTCTTTGCATCAATTTATCAAAATTATTTTCCTCAAATCCAAAAGTCATAATCGTTTTTTTTCGTTTCTTTTACTTCTTTAATTATTTCAAAAATAAATTATAATATATTTTGCATGTATATTTCATTTGATAAAAATTATTATATTCAAATGTAACATAAAACATCAAATTTTGTTATGGCTTTTTATATATGTAAATTCTTATTTGTGCATAACTAAGTGCAATTATATATATACATAACACATGTCAGTATGTATGTGTGCGTATTTATTTTTAATACATACATATGTATATTTACAAAATTATTAAAGAATGAATTGTTTTAAACTTTATAATTTTATTCACAGTTGATTTTGTTTTATCGCACCTTTACAAAAAAAACTAAAGTTATTCTTCTGTTACAAAATTAATGAAAAAAATTATGTATATAATGATAATGGCTTACATAAAAAAAAAAAAATTTATAAAATAAATTATTTTGCATCTTTTGCAAAATATACATATTACTTTATCGTTTTGTAGCGATTAATTTAAATTTTTTGGAACGTCTTTTTTTTCAAATCTTTAAAAATTGAAAATAATTTTAACTTATTCCCAAAATGGAATAAAAATTTTACATCTACCTTAAAATTATTTAGGTTCAGAATTCCAGTTAAAAACTTATGTTGGTGTATATTATTTAAATAGTTCAAAATAAAAAAAAAAAACATAAATATAATTAATGAAATACGAGATTGATTTTTTACATTGTTAAATGCAGAACGACACTTAATTCGAAGTATTATTGAGAAGAAAATTTTTGAATTATCCTAAAAGTTTCCTACAACATTATTATTTCTATCGTCGCTTTCCCCCGCACCAATTCTTGTTGGTGAATTTGACCTGGAACTATTACCATTGTTTGCTAACGAAAGATTTTCTCCAATATCTGATATTGGATTTGAGTTTTTCTCTTCTGATGAGTTTTCAGTTATTGGTTTTAATTCTGGTATCGGCGGGTTTATTAATAGATTGACTGAGATCAGAAGTGGATGTACTAATTTTGGATGCATCATTAACAAACTAACGTCTTCGTTTTTTTCTAATTCTAATGACATAATTCCAGTAGTTTGAGAATAACTTCTTTGACGCTGTTCATTTAATGAAGTAATTGTTACTCTGAAATCAAATGCTAGTTATATTTATATAATATAAAGATAAACAAAATTAATTCTTTTTACCGAATCATAAATTGACGCTTGTTTTTTAAGCTAAGTAGACGTTCATATTCATTTCTGTGATGCCTTTTTATACTTAAAACACCAGAATCTGCAATCAAAATAAGATCTAAACCAAAATTAAAACCTGTCCATCTCCATTTTTGATATGATGGATCTTGAAGTACACGTCCGCAACGCATTGAATTTTTTAAGAAAATTTCTTCCTGAAGGTCTTTTGGCCTGCAAATATTTGTCCAATTATTGACTGTTTCAAATATATCATGCAAATACAATAATTTTACCCTTCTTCAGCATAATGATCAACTTTTAATACAGACGACCAATGGCTCATTATATGTGGATGAAGCCATTCCATTGGAATTATATTATCTTGTACTACTAATTTTAAGTCAATGTTATGATTCAACAAATGTTGAATCCGTAAGGCTTGAAAAGGTTTGATAAATTCACGACCATCAGCAGTATGCAGAAATGGAGTCTTATCAGATCGTTCAGCAAAATAAGTTTGAGGATTATTTCCAGGTAATTTGCAAAAATCATCATCTGGTTTATAATTTGGAAAAAATTTTAAATACATCCATAGCCTTAACAGAATGTATAACGAAAATTCCGTTTGGAAAACATATAAATTCGGGCTGGATAATAAGGCAGTTATTAATTCTTCATTAATTAATTTTAAATATTTAACATATTTGAAGTAATATCCAACTAAATTTGTTTCTAGCCATTCAAATGCAGCTTTTTTTGCATTTTGCACACCATATTGACATGCTGCTTCATAATAATCTATTGCTGTCTGAAATTTAATACTTTTATAGACATAGCATTTATTAAAAGATTTATTTATTAAATACTTCTGCATTTGTTGTTTCCGTCATAACTTCGCTACATTTATCAATGATACCTTCCAATTGAAATAAAGTTGCCGTTGCTAATATTGATATGACTTTTTTCGGTTCAATTTCAATTTCGTCAGAATAAAATGAACCAAAAACGGCTTCAAGTGCTGAAAAATTAATAAATATATAGTTAAGTATTGGTACAAATGTTTTCTTATAGGTTTACCATCTAAAGTTATTTTATTGTCGGCTATTCTAATATGTATGAAATCTTGACAAGATTCTTTCCAAGATCCATTAAACATGCTAAAAAAATAAGGGCTCTGACATAAATAGACCTTATGCAACCGCCATGCTTTTCCCAACGCTAAAACTGTTACATCTGAATTTTTTTCTTCTTTATATAATGCTTGATAAATATATTGAGTTGTTGTAAGAAGTTTTTTCCTATAGTTAAAAGGAAAATATAAGGAATTTTAAATTTTCATGATAAAAATTATTGCAATTCATATTATTGTTACAAGTATTTTACTGTAATTAGCATGAACTCTTTAATTAAACAAATCATAAAATAAAATTATTTCACATTATTCAAACTTACTTTTTTGGTGTTGATAAAGATTTTTCTAATGCACTATTATTTTCATCATTTGAACTATCAGAATCTTCATTTCTTTTTCTTTTTCGACCAGTTATAATTTCTGCAACGCTACCAGTATATGCGTGTAATGGATATCTTAGCCTACTAGTCATTTGACCCATTATGAATTCTTTAAGAACAATTTCCTTGTATCAGTTATTTTTTAATTTACACCTTTTGCTATTTTATTTATAAATTGAAGTAAAAAAATAAAATCATAAATAAATATTAATATGATAATGAATCAGAAGATGTATGAATAAATTCATTATTATAATTTTTATGTAAAAATAAATTTCATATTACAGGAAAGTTGAAGTAAAATAAAAAAAAAATCTTATTATGTACAAAATATATATTTTCTTTTTTATGGTAAGTAATTGATACTTTTTAGAATCAAGTGACCATGAATTCATTTTACAAAAAATTTTAACTAAAAAGAATCCATTTCCGTTTATAACTTTTTTCCCCATTCTGATAAATAAAACTACTACATGTGTAAGATTGCATTACGTATATATGTTCAAATAATTAAAATAGAGAGAAAAATAAGAAATACATAAATTATATACATATGTACAAATATCGGAAAGAAAAGATTTAAAATTGAAATTTAAAACTCGTCAGAATAAATGTATATAATATTATGTTCCTTGTAGAAAGCGTTAGGTACAATGATCTATTTTAAGAATAAAATTGAAAAAAGTCAATATTGAAGATCATATAAATTATTCCAAAGAAATATTATTTTTGGGGAGATTTACACTAACATTTAGGATAATATTATAGAATATTAATTTAATTCTGAAATTATAAATAGAATGAAAAATATTATAACAAATATGCATATTCTGATTTGTTCATAAAGCTGATTAATTTTTCTATATAGCGAAATTAATATGAGTAGCGCAGTTAAATTAAACGAACTGTTTTGATTTTATATAATAGTTAAAAATATTCATCACGGTATTTTTTTTGCAGTATTGCGTTGCACAGTTATTGTTTCGCATAATTGTTGTTTTGTAAATCTTTGATTAAATAGAAAGATTTATGCCCGTATAAATGCGTCTTCATATACCTATATATTTATAACAAATTATAATGAATTTCAAAAATTAAAAATTTCATCTTAATTCATAAATTTTTTAAATTTATTTTTATATATCTATGTACTTATTATGAAATATGTACATTTATATGAATGCATAGCATTTTTTAAATACATATATATATATACTTATTGTATATAAATATAATTATACATAACAAATTTTAATAAAGTTTTAATTTATATTCCAAAATATTAAAACTATTTAAAAATAGTATCAAAAAATATGATTAACCTTGAATCATAAAAAGAATATATAGTTCCATAATTTTTTCAAATTTTTTTTTTTAATTTAAATATTAAATTTGCGGAAAATAAAATTTTTTTTTATTTTAAATTTAGTTCTTTATATTAAAATTCAAATTTATCTTTTATCTAATTTAGTTATTTGAAGATTAAAATAATGTAAATATTTAGAGGTTCACATGATTTTGAACTTTATCTGATAAAATATTTTTTATATATGTACTGGTCAAGTTGAAATGGAAAATTGGAAACCACTTTTCTTTTTACAGAAAAAATACTTTTAAAACAGGTATACTAAATCTTAAAATTTCTATTAATCATTTAGTATTTCATTCTTTTTTTTTTGTGAAATGTCTCTTCATGTGTTTATTTCCGAAATTATAAATTCGATTATTATAATTATTTTATATTTACATAAATAAATAAAATATATAGGTATATGTAAGTAAATAAACATTAAATGACGTAATAATTTCTCTGAAATCAATCAAAAAATCATTCGGAAAAAGTCAACGTCTTTTTAGAAAAATTTCTCTACGTTTTATTTTTTAGTTTGCTTTTTTCTTTTATACAAAATTAAGGACAAAAAAAAAATATAGCATAAAAAAAGAAGAGGATGTTTTGGAAAAAATTACACCCGCTACACACACATATTATGTAGTATGTAATTTTTCATGTGTATGGACAAATATGCATTCATAATACAATACCGTAAATAAAAATCTATTATTAGTTTTCTAAATGTGTTCTTATATTTGTATGTGGTTCATTTATAAAATGGAAAACTGGGTCATTCCTATAATCGAGTTTTACTTATTGAATAAAATCTAAGTGAATTTTTAAATACAGTCACGAAATTTTTTTGTTTTCTCTTAAATCAAAAAAAAAATAAACCAAATTATTTTAATGTATGTATGTAATTGTACTACAACACATATTTAAATATCATATTTTTATAATATCTACATTCCTTTATAGTATTATTAAAGTATAATTAAGTAAAAATTATAATTAAGTTTTATTAATTTTAATTAAGAAATTCAAAAATGGTGTGTGTCAAATAATATTCAATATGGTATGCATACATACTTTTGTACATATATATAATGTTAATTTAGGGTATATACCTATACCCACATACATATAAATAAATTTGCAAACTTTATTATAAAAATATAAAATATGAACAATAATTACATATACATATATAGTTAGTTAGAAAAGTTTAACACGAAAATTGACTCAACTTAAATTTATTAGTAGTAAAGGAAAAAAAAAAATACACATTTAATAATCTAACTCTAAGCAATATTATTATCTTTTTTTTTGTTATTTTATTGCAATAGCTATTACTACAATAAAAAATATAATAAGTATGTATTTATATGTGAGAGAACCTCTGGAGGAGTTAATATGATCTGGAGGGAGAAAAGACAGTGACAAATATCCGGTTCCCATTTTTTGCTGTGGTTCAACGAATATTTGGAAAACTTAGACTAGTTCATTTTATGGTAAAAAATTTAGAAGTAGCCGTATCATAGCCCATGGAATTCAAGTTATTGTAAAGTAAACTAAGGGATCATCTATTCTATACATAAAAAATCAATTTGTTAATATTAAAATGTACTTTAACAATTTATTTTAAAATTACAATAAAATTTTACAAGATTCAGACAATATTGGAAATATTGCTCTAAAATAATAGTTAAAAATGTATATAAAACACACTGCTAATAAAATAATTGAAAAAATACCATTCCCAATTATGAACTTTATAATTGTGAATCATATAGTCAATAGTGAATTAAACATAAAGTTTTAAAACCTTGAAAATACTCGTATATTCTGTAAAAGCTATTTTATATAAATTTTTAAAGAATTTTTTATTTATGCGTGTGGTCTTTCATACATATATCGAACATAATCGCAACATACTTATATACGCACATTTGAACATAAAATTGTTTGGCGGTTCATACATAATAGTAAGCTAATATAGTTGTGTGTATAAGAATTAGGTGAAAAATTTATGATAGAAATAGATAATAGCATATAGTACAACAATTTTTTATTTGTAATGAATTAAAAAATATATACGTATTTTATATAATTTAAGTTAAATCATAGTTACTCTTATATAATTTCATTTACATTTTCATAAAACTTAATTTTAAATTAATTTAATTTTACACGTTCTTATCCATTTAATGTTAAACTATAACAAAGATAACATTAATTTTTAATAATAGTGATCGTATTGAGTAAGTGCGCTTATTAATTGAGGCAAATTAAGTTTAAACCCTTTTTTAAAGATAAATTATTTTTGTTTTTTTTTTTTTTTGTTCAGGAAAAAAAAAATTCCAAAATGTTGACATCATTAGTATTGAAAATCGGTAAAAATTTAAAAAAGAAGGAAAAACAAAATTAAGTGATTAATAATTTCACAATTTTAGATTTATTTAAAGAAAGCATGTACAACAATTATGGCCCGCGCAGTTTCTTTCTGCAATTAGCAAAAACTTTTTTTTAATATCACCAATTCTGGCTCAATAGCACTAAGACAATTTTTCGGTAAGGATTAGAAAGGAAATTTTCAATATAGTTTCAGGTTGCGATTTCTAAAAACCTAATAAAATAATTTTATATACGGCATTATCAAAAATTTTTAAAAAAATTCCAAAAAACCATACTTAAAAGTTTCCTAAACATTTCTTAAACATTTTTCAACATCACATTTGATTGATAAGGACAATTAAAACCCTGCTCTATATAGGACAATTAAATAACTGCTCTATACCGTACAATTTTTTTTATTTTTATTCATAATCACGTAAATATTGCACATTCCAGATTTAATGATTTTATAGCTGTTTATTATTTATTAAGTTAAGCCAAAATTTTAAATTTAATTATGAAAATTTTCTCTATTACATTTTTAAAAACAAAAGTATTTAAATTTTAAGAGATCACGTAATGCGTACAGGATTAATAACATTAATTTTTTTAATACCTATAGAATTTTTAATGAAAATGGAATAAAGTAAAAATATCATAATTAATTTTACGAGTACATATGATGTAATTCGTGAAATATGAACTACTGTAGTAAGTGATGTGGTACTTTTTTACTTATGTTGATCCATTTGAGTAAGCAAGTAACTATGTAAATACTTGGGTTTATATAAAAGTTACTGCCAAAATTTAACGCTTATAAGAAAATAATAATTACCCTTAAAGAGTTAAGAATATCTTAAACGTTCACTAACCATTAATAAAAAATATATAAAACCATCCAAAATACTATTTTAATAAAATGAATTAAATTAAAGAAAAAACTACGCTATGTATACAGCAACGGTGGTTCACCTTTTAAAAGAAATCTCTGTTTAAATCATATCGTACACCAACAAAAAAAAAAAAAAAATCAAAAATAAATTCATTAACACTTTTATCAACGTATAGGACTTTTGTGTGTGTATATGGTTTGTGAATTCAACTTTGTTTATGTGTGTTTTTGTACAAATGTTAATACTTATTTACTAACTTAAACTTTTCCAAAAAGGTAATACTTTCCAAGGCTATTCGATCTGCTTGAGTATCAAAGCAAAAAGTAAAACAAAATTCGAAATTTTAAAATAAAGCTTTTGTTTTTTTTTTTTGTTTGCTTAAAAGTGAAAATAATGCTGAAATTATATTGCAGTTTTAACCATATTTAAATCTAGTTTTCAAAATTGGTTTTCGTTAAATAGGCTAATGCAATCAAGATTACTATAAATTTTTACATAAATTTTTCATGTATAATTTATTATTTTAATTGGTGCAATATTTTTGTGATCTAAATTTAGAAATATAAAAAAAAAAATAAAAAAATTTCGTAATATACAAAATAAAAAAATAAAACCGATGTTATTCGAAATATTTAAACGTTTCTAAGTTGAGCGCACCTACAGAGTATTGTCATATTAAATGCAAATAAGGAACAGTTTTGTAATTTTCGCTAAAGTTTTATTATCAATATTTTTACGTTAAAAAATAAAACTTTTTAATTTAATAATGCTTCAATGCTTTTAGGCATAACAGAAAAAAATTACATTAGTATTATTATATTAGTTGTAATAATAATTTTTTATTGGACATATCGAGCTAATTGACGATACTCACAACTATAAAGGTTTTAATTTTTAAATTTTTAATTTGTATAATCCAATTTTTTACACACCTATTAATTACAATAAGAAAAAAGTGTAGATCATACTAGACTTTTCCAATTACCAAATAACCAAAAAAATAAATAAATTATCGAAAGCTTTCTTACTCACTTGTAGTTTTATAAATTTAATTATTTTGAGTAAATATTACAAATAGGCTATCTAATATAAAATAGAACAAAATATATTGTTTAGGCCGATTGACAATTTAGGCCCAAACAAATTGACAACTTTGACTATCATAAAGGCAATAAAGAGAAATAAATTGCCACAAAGGCAATAAAGAGATGATGCAAGCCCAAGAAAAATATTCTTCTGATATCAATATCTTTCAGATTTTTCGCTTTTAAATTAAAATTAAAACTAAAAATTACTCGAACTTTTCTTATAATCAAAAACTTAATACAAATTAATTATAAATAAATTATAATCAGCTGTATTATATATTTTGATGTGGCATTCCCATTTCAATGAACTGCATAAAAAAGAACTTTAATAAACTTTTGTAAATTTTACAATGAAACCTCTTTTAAAATACATATTTAGTAAAGCTTATTACGTTGGGTTAGATCATCACTATATTATTCATAATAATAAAATAACCTCGAATTAGACGTGAATTTTTTTTTTTTTACCTGCTCATACTTAAAAAAGATACACTCAAAACAAAAATTCAAATTAAATTAAAGCTTTTCCCATTAACTTGCTTAATTACACCGACAGATACATATTTGTTTTATAAACAAAAAGCTGGTTTTATATAATCGTTTAAAAGCATGTGTGCTATGAATAAATAAAATTGTAAATACATAGATAAAAATAAAAATTTTTCTTAATTTAAAATAGATCATTGCAAAAAAAAAAAAAAATTATAAATAAATACTTAATTTAATGCGTCAAAACAAATATTGGAAAGCTTATCATGTTATAATAAAAAAAAAGGGAAAAACGAACTTATGAAAATTTAACAGATAAGCAAAACAAAATATGAATATTGTTTAAAAAACGTGTATGCACGTAGTACATACATTAAATGCAATAACAACAAATAATTTGTTTAATCTTTCACTAGAAAAATAAAAATTTGTAAATCTAAAACAACAAAACCCCACAAATTCGTGTTTTAAGAAAGGAATGGAGAAGTCCCAGTCCTTGAAAAATTCAGAAATGTTAGAATTGCAAGAGAAAAATGCTGAAGCACTTACTAATTTACAACAAATCCTTTAGTTTTTTATAATTGAAAAAAAATTAACATATTTTTATAGAGCTATATAGTTACATGACTAGCTATGACTACTTGTTGAAAAACAAACGAAATTAATTCAGTTACATAACTTTACGATGAATTCCCAATTTTTTCAATATATACATACATACATATATAAAATTTAAATTGTCCATAATTTTAATTTGTTTTTTTTTTTAATAATTTATTTTAGTTAATACAAAGGTACACAAACATGTCTATATAAAAATATTTACTTTTTTAACACCCACTTAATAAAGACAATTTCTGAATTTTAAAACAAAAATTTATTTTGATATGCTTATGTACTTATGTACATACATATGTAATCGATCACAATGACCAGTATTCACATAATCCATACTCTTATGCATACTATTTCGAACATAAACACGAATTACATATATATGTACATATAATGTGCATTATATTTTCGAAATGTTATATGTAAGTAATAAAAAAAAAATGATAAAAAAATTTGTTTACATTTCTATTTAGGTCATAAAAAAAATAACAAAACTCGTGGGTAGCGGTGTTGTTTTTACTAATTAAAGGGCAAGTAAGTACAATATAAAATAGTATATTAATTAAAATAGTTCCTATTGCCTAAAAAGAAAAATTAAATTCAAAATTCATGTTATAATTTATTTTTATTCAGAATTGTATTTTTGAAACAAATTAATAATGATATCGAAATTCTAAAACTATTTCAAATATATGTAGGTATACATATACGAGTATATATAAATTTTTTAATGAATTAATAAACTGATTACGAAGTATAAATAAGAAAATTACGGGAGATTATTTAAAAAAATTTAAATAAAATTATTAACAAGGGATATAATAAAATAATTCCAAATTACAATTTAGACTAGAAAGGCTACGTTCAACGCATGCTTCAACCCATTCTTTGTTAAGAAAAATATACAAAACTTTAATTCCATTTCAAATAAAATAATATAATAGAAAACAACATTGAAAATTTTATAAGAATATTTCAATATAATTTAAATCTTATAAATAGAGATTTACTAAATTATAAACAAATATGATTATAGGTAAAAAAATAATATGTAAATAATATTTTAGTTGGTATTTCGATCTACATTCTATTTATTTAAGTGAAAAATACATAGGAAAAATAAAATGTATCTGAAAAAGTGTTATTAATTCGTACAAAAGATTATTTATCGATGGGAGTATTAAAATATATAATTATATTGAAAATTATTGACCTTTTATTTATAAATAGAAAACGTAGATCGGAATTTTCATTAAATCGTCTTGTTTTTTTGTATGTACTTTCGACAAGTAGTATTAGTATAGAACTGAATTAATTTGTTTAAATATTTTTTTTAATAGTAAATTCTTAAAAAACATTAATTTGTAACTAAATGAAATTGATTAATATTGGAAATTTAAATAATCAAAGATCTTAGAATTTAAAAATTCGAGATATCTTAACCACCTATGTTATATGTTCCACCTAAAATGTTAAATAAAATGTTATTGTCTGATAAAAATGTAAGGGCACTTAATAATTATATTATTTGCTTTTTAAATATGTTTATATAAGTAACTATTATAATTACAATAAATTTAGTTTAATTGTTTTAAAATAGAAATTTTCTATCTAAGATCAACGGTTTCTAATTTAATAATTTTTAAATTAGGAAATGAATGGATGCTGTTTAGATATTTTATTTAACATAAATAATAAAAATTATATTAAAATATTTTAACCGAAGGTATTTTTTTTTTATTTTAAAACAAAAAACAAAGAAATATCAATTAAGTATGAAATTCTGTTAAATTTTTTAAATAGATACCTTGCTATCCTCCTGCCTACATTTATTTTTCAATATTGAATTTTAAAACTTGCAACAAAAAAAAAATATATAAGTATTAAAATATTTTAAAACTTACCCGCTCAAAATAATAAAATATAATTTTCAATTTTTAAAAAAATGACATTTGTTTTAATAAAATAAGAATACTATGTCAAGTACAGGATTTCAAAAATTAGTTTTTTTCCCAAAACACACAAATTTATTTCACAATTAAACATCAAAAACCTTATAGCAAAAATATTTAAAATGATGTCATCTTCTTATATATAAATATATCCACTAAAATTCATTTTTATTTTTTCAATTATTCCGACGATATTTCATAAACACAAAAAAAAAAACAGAAGAGCAAATAAAATTAATCCGTTTGTTTACATCGACTAAATCAAAAAGACTGAAACGAAATTGTAAAAAATTGCAAATTTTTTTCTTGTATACAAAATGTGAAAAATAAAGAAGAATGTAAACAAAAACATATGGACATTAAGAATATATCTGTCTTTTTTCTAAAAGAGTACATATATTTTGCATTCCTCTCTCTCTCTGTAGAATTGTATGTATGTAAATAAGCAATCTTAATTTACTATACTACTATGTTATTTGGAGAGATTTAGCAATGGCATATGGCTGGCTGAGCTATTAAAGTTACTTATATTTATGCAAATTTTCATATTTTTAAATATATTTACTTGTTAGATACTCTTAAAATAAAAAATTATATTATATACTTAATTTTATATTGATTAAACTGGGAAGTTACTTCAAAATTTAAATTAAACATAATACTTACCTAAAATTCTTATTTGTAAATATCGATTATTTTGTGCTGTTAGAAAGTCCATATATGTATATATTTATGTATGTATGTATGTACGCACGTTTAAACCTTTTTTATTTCATGTTTGATCATGTCATAGAATTAAAATTAACTTTATATGCAATGTGCAACCATTAATTATTTAGAAAGATCCAAATTATCTTTTTATTTAAAACACATTTTTTTTTGACAATTTTAAACATAATTACCACATATCGTTTTTTAATAAATTATCACGTAGGTACTGTTGTTTATTATTTGGGAATTTGTAGGATTTTCTTTTTGGAGAACAACAAAATTGATTGACGCAAATGATAAATTATGTAAACTGTCATCAAGAATGAAATAGAGATGCTTCATGCGCGGTATGTGATACATAATAGTATAAATAGATTAATTTAAATTTTACGTCAAAATAATGCTCAAGATAAACTTTAGAATAAGTACTTACTCTAAGCTATGTAAACTATGTGTACATCACAATTTGAAAAAAACAACCAGAATTAATACGGTCATAAATGTTTATAGGCATTAGGTAAAACCACGGCTGACAGAAATACTTACAGATTTTTCGAAATGTCAAGAGTAAAATAAAAGAAATGCCTACACCCGCAAGAAACTTCACTTCTTGGCTGTCAAGTATGCGATATGTTAATCAAATTTTTTCCATGATGGTAAAAACTGATATTGCATTTATATAAGGTTGTTTGACAAAATAAAACTAAAAAAAATTATAAAAATTAATAAGAAGTATATGTCAAATTTAAAATTGTAAAAAATAAACAACAATTTTTTTCTTATTGTATTATTATATGCGCAATAATGTTTTTTTCTTGTTGTATTATTATTCAATAACTGAAAATGTTGATACAGAAAACGAAACTGGAAAACGAGAGATAGAAAACGAAAAAGTTGTACATAATTGATATTACGAGTATGATTAAGTGTTCAAATAGCTGGAGACGGACAAGATTAACGTCGATTCTTCAAGTACCAAATGTATTTTGACGTTTATATAAGTATTATATAAATGACTGCGATGGCAAGTCGTACTTGAAATTATATCTAATAAAAACAAAAATAGGTTTGACAGTTCTCAACTACCGAATCAATAACCAAATTTATTTTTCAAAATTTAGTTATTGTAAATAAAGTTTTGAAAGATTAATTACAATATTTTAATTGAAGGAAGTTGCTGAAAAATGTCAATATCTGCAAGTTTAACTTCATTGAGAAATGCAATGGTAAGTGCAATTTAACGTTTTAACTCAGGTTGTGAAATAAATTGAGTTATGCAATATAAAATATATAAATAATAAATAAGTATATAAATAATAAAATTTAAAACTTATTTAAAGACAAAAAGATCCTGTCGATTGGTTAAGGATGCACATCGAACACTTTCTTCTGGTAGCGATAAATCTGACGGACCTGTTAATGGAAATATTCCCATGATCGATTATGATGACCCCGATTATTTACCTATACCACAATATCCTGCAAAAATAAACGAACCATTAGAACAAAAAAGACAGAGGTTTGTTTAATACTTTATTACGATAAAAATTTTAATGAATCAATTTTACAGACTTCTTTACCAATCTCGTAAAAGAGGAATGTTGGAAAATGACTTACTTTTATCAACATTTGCTAAAAAATATTTGAAAGATATGAATGAAGAAAATCTTGTTTTTTATGATCAATTGATTAATGGCCCTTCAAATGATTGGGATATATACTACTGGGCTTCAGAAAATAAAGTAACGCCGCCGCAATATGATACTCCAATCATGAAAATGTTAAAAGAGCATGCAAAAAACGTTAAAAAGGAATTGAGGATTAGACAACCAAGTTTATATTAAAAAATATATAAATGCAATACATACACATCTACATGTAAATAAACATATAACTATAAATATTCGGCTAAATTTAGTAATTTGAAATTTCAAATTATTAGCATCTCTCAAAAACTTTATAAAGCGTAGGTAAAGTGGTTAGTTCAAATAAATAATTTTTAAAACTGTTGCTCGGTATCAGATATTTTTTCATAGCGGGGTACAAAATGTGTTCAACATAATACTTATGTGATGCATTCAAATTAGCTATGTGCGGAACAAAAGCATAATATTCAGCTGTTTGTTGACAAAATCCTTTAAAACATATTTCTTCGCATTCCCAATCTACATCAGTAGCTAATCTTAAAATGTATATTGGTAGTTTTTCTAATGAAGGTTTGTGGTGCTCTAATAAAAGCGGTAGAGATTCCAACATTCCGTCTTCTGTTATTTTTAAATTAAAATATTCTTCCAATATTGGGGAATTTTCTATCAGCTTGTTTTTAACAATGTCAGCCAAAAAAGTTTTTTCCCCATCTTCCTCAGTCCACCCACTTTCTTTTGTGTCTAGCGCTATTAAAGCCATGTCATAAATTGATATTGAAGGTTTGAATTCAATTTTCTTAAAATTTTGAAATTCGTATAACAAGAATTGATAGAATAGATGAGTACTATAAAATTGAATTTAACATTTAGCATCTATGTATGTATGCATAATTATATTTTATAATTCTTACCTGGCCTTTATGGTGTCACATAAATATAAACCATTTTCGTACTGAAATGTACTGTATTTTTCATTAACTACTCCAACAAAACACATTCCTTTAAATATACTCCTCAACTTTGTACTGCAACGATTCTCTATACTTTTACGCATATTTAAAATACTTGTCAATTTAGTTTCTTTTTTATTTTTGTTATAGCAAGGTGCTTTTGAAAATTTTAAATTCAGTTCACTGTTTCCTTTCATTTTTATAGCTTGCTCTGAAATAAGAAATTTGTCCAACTTTTGAACATTTGCGTCAGTTCTAACAAAATTTTCTGGTTTTATTTTAACAGAATTTCCTGACTTTTCATTTTCTTTGGCAATAGCATCATTACCAACACCTGGTAACCGTTGCTGTCTATAAAAAATTCTTGCGCTATTGCAACCAGTTAATTTAGATTCTATATGATTTTTAATTTTTTCAATGATTTCATCTTCATTTAAAAAGTGAACTTCATGTTTAGTAGGGTGAACGTTTACATCTACTGAAGTTGGCTCCAAATCTAAGCTAATATAAATAAAGGGAAATTCACCTTTTGGTAAATAGGTAGCATATGCAGAATCAACAGCAAATTTTAAAGCTTGTGATTCGACTAATCGGTGATTAATAAACAGGAGCATAATTCCCTTTTTTGCTGAATAATTTGGGTTAGATATCCATCCTTCAGCTTTGAATTTTAAATAGCTCTCATTCACTTCGATTCTTATTAAATCTTTCCCAATACTATTTCCAAATATGAGTCGAATGTTGCTGTCTGCAGTGCTATTTGGATTCGTTTTTATTGCCGGATTTTCACCTGATTTCCTGAGGACAAAACCTACGTTGGAGTTGTGTACAGCATACTTACAGACTATGTCCGATATTTTTTGAAATTCTTCATTTGGCGATTTCAAAACTTTTTTTCTTTGTGGTACGTTATAAAAAAGATCCTCAACTGTTATAATTGTTCCCTGATTTCCAGCGCATGCTTTGATAGAACCTTTAAGCAAACCATCCTCATATGAGGCTCTTGAAATATAACATGTATTGGAAAATTAAATATACAACTTATTTATAAAAAGTGCATGTATATACTTATAAGCACAGGGCTCCGATTTCGTTTTTGTTTGAATTGTTAAATGCGCCACGTGACTAATGCTAGCTAAAGCTTCACCGCGGAAGCCGTAGGTCGCTATATTAGAAAGATCATGAAAACTTTTAAGTTTTGATGTCGTAAATCTTTCACACACAATATTAAGATCACTTTTGCGTATTCCAGTCCCGTTATCTTGGATTTGAATTAATTTTAAACCTCCTTGTTTTACAGTTATTTGAATATAAGTCGCCCTAGCATCTAGACTATTGGGTGATTTAAACAATAATTATTTAGAGATTTTTGTCATAAAGGTAGTTGTTTTTAAACTTAAATATTGAAATCTACCTATTTTCTAGCATTTCCTTTATAGCATTTGCTGGTTTTTGTATAACTTCGCCAGCTGCTATCCGGTTCACCACTACTTCATCTAATTTTTTGATCTCTTTGGGCTCTTCCATAAAGAATTAACTATCATATATAAATAATACAAGTAAAAATAAATATTATTTTTAAATACAAAAAGTTGACAATACAACGAAAATATTTTATTAACTAAATACATAATATGTACTAAATAACGTAACGAGTACATATGTACTAAATAACATATGTTTCTACTTCATAAGCGCCAAAATTTAAAAGTTGTTTTTTTTTTGTTTACAAAACAAAATCATATTTTTGGAGCGAAATTCACAGTACATGACATAAACATAACACATAAATTATAGTACCTTTTAATTTTCATTATTATAAAACAGGAAAAAGAACATGTTCGTGTTTTTATACATTTTTCTACTATGTACTAGTTTTTATACTATTTTGGCAATAGATCTGCTAGTTTAATAGAATGGCACTTGGCAGTGAACAGCTGAACTCTCATTTTTAGAATCTTTTAAAAGTACTTGATCAGCAAATTTTTAGTATTTTTATGATTACAGTTTCTCTCATCACAAGCAATGATTTTATTTTTGTGATGAGGAAAGTGTTTTGTGAAACTAAAAAGTTCACAAAAAATATTTAAAAAAGTGAAATATTTGACTTTTTAAAAATAAAGCGCTGCATTGAAAACTGGCTCTTATTTTGAAAATGAGTATTTAAAAAACAGCACAATTTTTGCCATACAAATTTAAGGCAGACAATGTCTTTTCATTTTTGATTCACATTAAAATAAAAGCAAAAGAAACAAATTAATTGTGATAAACAGGTGGATGACGGACTGTTTAATTTTGATATAAAATATTTTTTCTTTGTTTATGTTCAGTTTCAAATTTCACTCCAACATTATAATATTCATTTAAAGAATCTGTTCTAGTATAGTTTCATAAAAAAAATTTGAGTTCCCAAATTATAAGCATTTTAACGAAAATTGCTATTGCAAAGATAGGAATTTCCATTTTTTCTTTAATTGAGAATAAACTTTAAGTCAATTTATTAAGCGGGTGCCTATTATTTTGGTAGTTTGTTATATAAATACTTTTCCAATGCAAAAAAGTGTATGAATTGGCAATAACAACAGTCTATGTACGTCATAAACGCTGTCAAACTCAAAAAAATTGATTTAAATCTGACATTAAGAATTCCGTGCGCATTTAATTTTGTTAATGATTTTATAACTTCATTGGTTAAGTATATAAAATGTAAATGCGAAAGTCAAGTAAAAATTAAAAGAAGAAATGTGGCATTTAAGATAAATTTTGCAAATAAAAATTTTAATTAGTTATGCATTATAACTTATTGAATAATTGGAAGTGGTATAAGAAACATCAGAGGTCCTAAGATAAATAAAAAAATCATAAATCAAAAAATGTACAATCCATATAAAAAAAAGAAATTTTTTGTAAATCCCCATCCTCAGTCCTTTATAATTTTTGTTTATGAATTTCAAAGAGATGAAGCTAAAAGGAAAAATAGATTAGTTTCTCTAAAAGAAGCTTATTCCAGTGGCGCAGTCGCATGGAAGGTATTGTGGAGTCATACGTGAAATATATGTACATATATTTGTTCTTAAAATAAAAATTTACCTGTAAAATTTAGGAATTACCTGAAAGCGAAAGAAGTAGATACGAAAGGATTGCAGCTTCACCTACTTGGAAAGAATATAAAGCAAAATATCAATCATATTCATACAACATGAGTTTTACAGAGTTGGAAGAAATCGAGAACAAACGTGTTTTAGAAGAAAATGTTATGTTGAGAGAAATAGATTTTATAATTGATGAGGCCAAGCGTAATGAAAGTAAGTAGATAGAGCTTTAAAACTATTTGTAAGTGTGCAGATACACATTTTTTAAAGTTTCCGAAACCGAATAAATCATGAAAACGTACCGTAGCTGTAGCTGAATTAAGGTTAAACTTCATCATGGCTAATTATTTCGTAAAACTAAATGATTCTGAAGAAACATATATTCCCGCAGAGATCTCAATTTGCAAGTTTTCAATACGGGATGGTATTCTTGATAAATTTCATACGTTTGTCAATCCTGGTGTATTGCCTTTTGGTCATGCATTACAAGCTCGAGAGCATGCCAAATCGACCCATCAGTTGGAATTACCCCCAAATGCAGTTGGTGAGAAAAACTTGGGAAAAATTTATAAAAATATTGCAGAATTTATTAATCCACAAAATGAAGATAACCGCAAAAATATTGACCAAAATATTTTACCACCTGTTTATACTGATACAAAAAGTGTCCGAGTTATTAAATCTATCTTAAAATTTTGTAAAAATGACTGCTTCGATGAAAATATACCCAATATTCGCGTATATCCATTACAGAACATATTCTTTAAAATGAAAATTGCAGCTTCATTTATTGGTGACACTAAAGCTCCTGACTCAATAGACGAATCTAATGAAATTCTTTACAGAGATAATTATGAGTATGAATTGAGTTTATCGTGTAAGGTAAAAATTTTAATTTTGTTTAGTTTTTTTGTTATCATTTAAATGAACTTATTGTTGCAGTTTCATGAAAATTTGGAATGCGGGAGATTTTGTTCATTGTCTTCAGTTACGCGATGGTCCTACATTTTTGCGGAAAATATATGTCCAGATTTAGCGATTAAATTATTGCCAGGTCTTCATATGCCATCTGAATGTGGTTATGTTGCAAAAGAGGCTAAAACTATAGAAATGAAACCAATGCCTATTAAAGAGCAGAAATATAAAACACACCGAAATGGAGAGATGAATCATATTGCAAGCCCGAAATATGATACACATAACGAGGAAAATGGTTACCACGAAACGGCAATAAAATTGGAAGTAACAAAAATTAAGGTAGAAAAGCCTGATTCCGTGTGCGCGGGCACAGATCCCAAATATGAATATGATTCCGATATTCAGAGCGTCAAAAGCTTAAATAAAAGTATAGTTAACATAGATTCAGATTCTGATGATGGAAAAGGAATCACAATTGTAGATAAAAAATTGAAACGAACAAGAAAAGATCACAACGATGCTAATTTTGAAGGAAGGAAATCTAGGCGATCACGTTCAATTTCGTATTCAAGTTTCAATAAAGAGCGGCATTATGGCAAAAAACATAACAAACGAAAAAGCATTGGTAAGCGACAAAGATCTAGATCAACGGAAAGGAAGGGGAAAAATTCTAGAAGATCAAATTCTAGCCTGTCAAATGAACGCTATTCAAAGTCAAAATCGCATGATAAAAGGTATATCAAAATGAAAAGGAATTCAAAGTCGAGATCCAGATCAAGATGCAAATCTAAATCCAAATATAATTATGGATATAGGTCACGATCACGAGATTATAAAAAAAATAGATTAAAAAAATATAAATCAAGGTCACGATCAATTGATTATGAAAAAGTTAAGCCAAGAAATGAAAATTACTTTAATAAAGAAAGAGAAATATCCTTTACAAGAAATTACGATTCTCGTTCCCGTGATAATAAATTGAGAACACAACGATCAAGAACGAGATCGTCATCTAGATCGGGATCCAGATCTAAATTGAATAACTATTCCAGACATAGATATTCAAAATCTAGATCTAGATCACATTCCAAGGATTATAGAAGACCCGAATTAAAAAATGACATTTATTTTGATAGAGAAATCGAAGTACCCCCTGCACCAAATCTCACTCCTCAATTGCTTTATGATAGTAGAAAATATCACTATAGTAGAAATTCTATTCCCCTTGCATATACTTCGCCCCAAAGCGGCAGTAAATCATACACAACTGGCTTTGAGCCCCGTAGTTATTATTCAAAATCATTTTATTTTGATAGACGACATTATTAATTTCTTGTTTTTTGTACATTTGAATTTTAAGTTAAAAAAAAAATAGAAATAAATACGTTTTAGTTTAAGTACTCATGCAATTGATTTTGTCTATCTTTTATATTAATTTTTAACGTTAAAGTTATCAATTAAGCAATCAATCTAAATACTTATCTTATGATTTATACGTTTCTTATGATTTTAAATTAAAAATGCACATGTAAATTAAGTTCCAAATCTGTCAGATAAATATTTTATTTGAAATGGAAAAATATTATTATGTATTTTAAAAGTTCTTTTTTAAAAATCAAATTTTGAAATGACTGCATTTTACAAAAAAAAAGCAAATTAGGTTTAACTGATTGTATATTTGCATTATCAAAAAGTTGGTACAATCAAAATTGTCATTTTTATCAAAATATGGTTTGGTAAACCATATAACATAAGAGTAAGTACTCAATATTGTTCAAATACTGTAGAAATGTCGAATAAAAAACATTTTTATGAAATGTAATTTTGTATCAAATTGAAATAAAAAAGTAAATTTTTCATGTACATATTAACAAAACTAATTACTAAATTAATTAGAAAATTTTATTTTAATCAGATAAACATTCTTAAATTTTTAAAATTTAACAGGAAATGCAAAAAATTTTTGTAATTACACACTATTAAAATTAAAGTATATATTTCTTTTCTTAACATCTATAGAGAAGCTTTCAATTATATTGTAAATTATATTATGCTGCTATATAATATAAGAGAATTAAAAGGGTTTAAATTTAATACATAATATAATTGAAACACCTATGAGAATAGAATATTTTATACAACATTTGAGTTTGTTTGACTTTTGCTTTTTAAAAAGATATTCATCATAGTCAATATATGTCGGTGGTTTATCAGGACTGAATGAGTGCAACTAAAAAGACAAAACAAAAGAATAAACTATACTATAATTTTCAATCTTCAAATCAACTTACATATTTAGTCGTTTTCGTTAACTGCTTTAATATATTTTGGTATCGGCTTAGAGATTCCTTCATTTTCGATGCCTCACAATGAGAAACATTTCCGAAACATTGTTCTTTCAAATTTTGAATTACGAATTTTAATGCTGCATTCAAAATAACCAAATTAAGAAGGTGATTTGCAGAAAGCATCAGAATATCGTAAAAGCTGCAATATGCTTATTGTTATAAATTTATTTAAATCTATAATTTTCAAATCTATATATCTTACTTGTCGTTTTCTTTCCTTTTAACCCTAGCTATGGATTTTTTTGACCAATGATGCAAATGAAAACTATATGGAAGTCTGATTAGATTTTTTATAAAAAGTTAAAGTAATACTCACTATAATAAACCCATTCGAATTCTTTTTCTTTGATATGGGAATAAAATGCCAATATCTTTCATTTGACTATCTGTTAATGTTAAAAATTCAGCTAAATTTATATTTGCCAAAGCAAAATATTCGGCAAATCTTTCCATTTTGATATCTCTTAAAATTGCATAAATCTCCTGAAAATACTCAGGTACTTCAGATTTCAAAAATATTCGTGGTATGTGATCACGTAAACAATTATAAGTGAGGAATGCCGACGGTATGCTGTATGGAATTTCTTCTTTTGGAAGTATTTCCAATATGTCATCGAAACCGAAATTTTGTGCGAATTGACATGGTGTATATCCTTTATTATCAACAATGTTACAATTCACACCTGATTCAATTAAAAATTTAACTACTTCTTTTCGATTATTTTCAATAGCTATAAAAATAGCGGTTTTGCCTTCGTTATTATGTGCTTCCAAAGAAACATGTGGTAACAATTCATGTAAAATACTTAAATGTCCACTTTCGCAGGCGAATAGAAATGGAGTCATGCCATACTTGTCAGATATATTAATAACAGCCCCTTTTTCTAATAATAAAGTTACAATTTTGATCAAATGACTTATGTCTTTTAAATTTTTAATATTGCATCGACATACTTCCATCAATGGTGTTATCGAATCAACTTGTCGATTTACATTCGCATTATTTGCTATTAGGTATTTTACAATGTCCAAACACGCTACTCGACACGCTAAGTGCAAAGGAGTGGTTTCATTTAGTATTAAATCATTGCAGTCGAAATTTAGGGCAGTGATTTCGTTGATTGTTCTTTCTAAATCTCCTGAGGTAATAGCATCATATAAATTCTGATCAGGGTTTACGGGGCGATAAACTGTCCGCTTCCGAGATAACTGAAATCAAAAATTTGCTTCAAAATATACTTGAAAATAATCAAATTAGGCTCATTCACCTTGTCACCAAAAGAAAATCCTTCATATAAGTCATCCGAATCACTATCATCTGAATCTGACATAGGCGGACCATATTTTAACATTTTAAGTGTTTTTATTTTTAAGAAAAAATACTTATTATGCAAAAAATAAAATGCAAAAGTATTTTTAAAATCAAAATATCCGAAGTATGTACATAGAAAACACTATTCTGTTTTTCAATCAAAAAAATAACAATAACAAAACAAAAAATTTAGTATTGCCATGTTGTATCTATAATGTATTCAGAACTTTTTTTGAAACGATGTTGTGATGGTTTGATAAACTTAATAGTATTGTCTTCAGACTTTAGCAGAAACATATTTTCCTAATCGATTTACATACATGTTATATGAAATTGAGTTTTGCTACATTAACATGTTTTAAACTGACATTTTTTTGTTATTGAAATTATTTCATTAAGTAACAAAGTGACTTTTGCCAATTTTAATTTTTTTAAGTTAAATTTCCACGGTCAAAGTTTTGAGCAAAGACAATTTTGTTTCTACTGCAACAGAATTACTATAAGTTGAAGTCAAATTTTTGGATTGGCTGTACATATAAATGTATATGGGTGTTGTATTACATACTTTTGAAGTAAAATTTTTGAAAGGTCACCTTTGATAGGCTTTTATTCTCTGCCGTTGGGTTTTTCGTCCTTTTAATTTTAATATTTTCACGTGGCTTAGAGCTAAAGCTAAAAAGATACTGCATGCATCTGCATATAGACATATTTAGGTTTACTCCGGATTCCGGATTTTGGAAAGAAAATTTAAGATCGCATATTTAAGGAAATTGTTTAAAAAGAAACAAAAATTTTTCATAGATTTTGGATCGAAAGTCTAAATTATTTAAAGAAAAAGAAAAATTTCATGATATTTACAGGGTTGTACTTCAAAATATGCATGTTATTTGAGATACGCTCGAAGTTCAAGTTAGAAGAAAGATCGGGATTCAAATTTTCAAAATTCTAGAAAATTACGATAAAGTATTAGGTACATACATACATATATAGATTTGAAATTAAAAAATTGTTCTCATTACCTTTTTTACTTTTTGTTTTATTATTTGTATGTTTGTTTCTTCATATTACAAAAGAATATTTACCAGTAACTACAACATAATGAATCATTCACATTTGCGACACTGTCGCAGCGACAATTGCACGAAGTGTCAAAGTATTCAATCCACTAATTTAAATAGGGAAGGTTTTATTACTGCGACAAGCTACAACACCATACCGGAAGTTGTAGAATTACGGAAAATTTAATATTCGTCGTTGGAAAATTTGATGACAATTCAATGATAAACGTCATTTTTAATTTTACAATAAAAATTGCGAGAAAAACGGTCATTATATTATGATTTCAAAAGACAAATTAAGAAAAGGAAAAAAAAAACAATGCAAAAATAGTAAATGCATATACACACAACTAGCAAATAGATTTTTTTGAGATTGTTTTTATGAATTACTATCGCTATCGCTGCTCTCATCTCGCCAGACTCTCGTTATTCTAGTGTCGCTGCAATGTGAATAGCGCATAAAGCTGAAACGTTTAAAACAATTTTTGATATCAATATTCTTATTATTATTCATTTTATGAAACTTAACATCCCAAATCAATATACATAATATGTATGTATGTAGATATTTTACTAAATAAATTATTATCAAAAAATTTTACTTATAATTTTAATTCTAATGTTAATATATATACATATATGTACATAATATACATATATTTACATGGTAATTTTTGCTGATTAATATTGTGCATATATTAGGGAATTACCGAATTACTAAATATGGCTTAAACATGTATGTAATTACAAATCAATAAATTTAAAAATGATATAAAAAAAAACAAAACAATGATAGAGACCTTGATTGAATAATATATAATCAATTTTTTTTTTTGTTTTATTCAAGGATATATGAATACATATACATGATATTTGTGCATACATATTTATTTTATATTTGCACTTATTATAATAAATAATATTTAACTTTATTTGCAATTTGTAAATTTCCACAATATTTTCTTATTATTTTAATTTCCTACATAATGTATATGAAGCATTATTTTGATTTTACAATGTGCAGTGATTGCATTTAAAAAGCGTACAACAATGTTAATTTATTCCTTTGTCTCCATATATGAATACATATTATATACATATACGTTTGTAGCTATTTTTTTTTATCAAAAATTCGAAAATCAATAAAAACTTTATGTATAGTATGTTGTAAATGGTACCTATACATATATACATATGCACAGATATAGGTTAAATATTTTTTGTAGGATTTTCTAATTACATATACAGATTATATTTCCTGAACTACTAAAATCTACATACATACGTTATATTAACAGCATTCAAAAATTATTAGCAACAAAAATATGAAACTAATTAAATTTCTAAGTAAAATCCTTATTAAATAGTATACCAAAAAATTTCACAATTTATTTTACTGAATTTATTTTAGTATATTTCTGAAACCTTTAAGCCGCTTTATATAGAAAAATATACTTATTAATATACTTATACCTTTGCTTCTCCATGTGCTCACAATTCCTTTTGTTCGTCTATTATTTACCCGTTTATCTATCTGTCTCTTTGTGTTATTCATTTACAAAAATTCTACATCTTCAAGATATGAAAGTGAAATTTCGAAAAATAAATAGATATTAATTGAATTATTATAATTGATTGTCGTGGATTATTGTTCAATGTACCAGGTCCTGAAAAAAATCATAAACTAAATATTGTATATCTTTTAAGTCTTACTTTAGAATAGGCAGGTGAATATATCAATTTTAATAAGATCAAAATAAGTATTATAATTGTAAATTATCTGGCTTATTAAAACTTATTAACTGGCGAATTAAAAAAAAAAGGTCTGTCCGTGTATCTGCCTATCCCAGTTATAACGCAAATATTGAATTAAAATTAAGTTAACGCATTGAATTAAAACAATTATAGCATGGATGTATGTATATAATTAAACTGATTCTAAAAGAACCGTTTTACCGTAAAAGTTTTTTAAATACAAAAAATATACCCAAGTAACTAGATTTAAATTGATTTCTTAATATAGACGATACACATGCATGCTTTCATTAAATCACGTTATCTAAGTTAAAAAAAAAAAAATAATTAAAATATGAGTTTTTTCAAATATTTACATTTAATAAACATAAAAAAAACTAAACAATAAAAAAAATTGCATTTATTATAACAAAAAATAAAAAAAAAATAAAAAGAAAATTTAAACGATTCTTGTACCTACTTATCTTACGTTTTGTACTTGTATGCATGTATGTATGCATGTTATATTTGTCATTTGTTTCATTCAATTCTTGTTATTTGTTCTGTTGACCTTGACATTACACATATATTACACACATAGGCTTCCTTTTTATTTTTTTTACGATATAATTTAACTCTTTTTTGTGTTTTTGTTTTTTTTTTTTTTGAATTTTTCTCTTTTTTATTTTTACAGAAATTTTTAACGATCATAATAATATTAAAAACATTTTCATATATACATATGTATTTACATACATGTTATATTTGAATCTGTACTTAAAAAGGCATCAAAAGAAAGTGTATGAGAAAAGAATTTTTGTTAAAATTTTACAAGGACTTTTATTGTATTAAAAATTTAAGATTACAAATTGGTACACATGCATTTTACCTACTTATACATGAACATTTATATTCATATACGTATATTATCATATTTTACATGCCTGTACATATATTCCTACTTATATTAATTTCCTACATATTTAAATGTTTTAATGTGAAAATTAAAATAATTTTAAGATTTTTTGAAAAAAAAAAAAATAAAAATTATTTTTTTTTGGTCGTGAACAATATATGTACATAATATATTATGTAAATAATGTACGTATCTATATGTAGGTCTATTTTTTACTAAAAATTTTACACAAATTACAGGGTTCATTTATTGAGAGAATTTAATTTTTACTTAAAAAAAAAGAAAAAAGAATAGGTGAATTAATTTTTAAAATTTTTATTTGTGCAAAGTTAAGAAAAATTTATTGAAAATTAATATGGAGTTTTGTATCCGTGATTTTATTTGTGAAAATGAAGTTACGGCGAAATTTAAAATTTCATATATATGAATACCGATATATGTATATAAATGTAACTGCACAGAATGTAACGAAATTACTGTCGCGAATTTAATCGATGACAGTAAAATAACCTAGAGCCCTAATTTATTCAATTTGTATGGTACTATCTTTCCATTTCTGCAAATACGAGAATAGTTTCACGAAAATTAATTACCCTATAGTAAGCCCCCTAAACACTTGATTTTGCCGTTCTGCTTAAGCTAAAGCGTTCGCATACTTTTCTTCTTTTTTATAAATGACAATGGTATTTTTCAAACAATTTGGCCGATTATTATTGTATGTTTTAATAATTATTCCTATTTAATATTGTAGGTAATTATGTAAATTTTTGTTATAATTCAAAAAAGATGTGAATTTTGACCATATTAATTTATTTCAATATTAAATTTGTTTTATAATGTTAAAAAGTATTACGAATTCAAATTGTAGAAACTGCAATTTAAAATTATTTTATAATTAGCATAAAAAATCTCTTTTAATTCATATTCTTAGTAATTTTCTTATAATGGAATATATTTTTTAAAATAACGTGTTTTTTTTTTATTTATGACCTTTTTGTAAACAAATAAGTTAACATTATTTTTCATTTACTTGCAATTGATTTTAAAATTTTAAAATTATTTCATACAAGTTTTATCTATATTATAACGTTTTATATTATTACATGTGTATCACATATAAAGAATATTATAAGTGCTATATTAATATACAAGTTGTACTAGATTTATATTTCGTTTCATATAAACATGCATTATGCATACATACATATACACATATCCTAAATTCAAAATTCATTTCAAACATATTTTTTTACGTCTTTTAAATTCATATTTTTAACTACTTGTTTATATGAAGTATACACCGTATATATATTATAATTAAAAGGATATAAAATTTACGTCTTATGAATAATACATAAATGTTTATACAATATGTACCTATTACATGGTTTTGCATATTTGGAGACCTTGATTTTATATTTCTTTTAATATATGTACATACAAACACCCTTTTATTCCTCTATCATACC